CCAAGAACCACAGTTTAAGCTAAAAATTATATTCAATGCTCTGCTGAAGAAGAAAAAAACAACAACAGTTAACTACATTTTGGATGGCCTGAGGGCAAGTAAAAATCCAGCAAATTTTCATTTCTCAGTGAACTACCCCTTTAAATATGATTGGGTATATTCTTGGCATGCAGGAAAATACAGCCTACAATATACAGCAAATTAGATATATTTTAATGAAACCAAGTTAGAGGATTTCATCACTCTTGAACACATGAAAAAAGTTACAAAGGGATTAAAAAAAATGTTATCCCAACAAATGGTTATACAAAAGCATGGCTGATTACATCTGAGCTCAGTAAAACAGTTGCATAAGTAGTTTTAGATGTTATGCTGTTATGAGACTCAAATTGCATGAACCCACTGATGTGTGGTTCATGCGAGTTTTAAGAAATAATCTCAATAAAAATAAATAAATAAATAAGTAAAGCTAAACAGCATCAAAAACATAAGGCCCGAAAATGACATCAAAAAAGCATTAGCATATAAATTCAACAAGCGTTCAAGCAACACCTTCTCTTTCGGGTCACCAGAAGAGAGGATACAGAGACGTATTAATGTTGCTGATTCTCATTTAGTTTAACTCTGACCCCGAAGTGGAATTAATGTGTAAAGCGACCAAGATGGCGGAGATATTTTTCTTCATAAACTATGTAAAGACAAGTCAGGCAAATTGATGAGTCCAAAGGAGGACAGACTCCAGCGGAGGATGACGAGGAATAATGAGGAAATATTACCCGCAAACTTTGTCAAGCCACATGGAGGCTGATGTCAACATCTCACACATAATATCACACACACAAAAAGGTACATTTCTGATTTACCAGGGGGCTATACTTCCTGATGAGAAGAAATGCTCCTCTCTAAAGCCAGGCTCACACTTTAAAGAAGTTTCAGGCCAATTCATACCCAATTTTTATGATTTACATGTTTAGCATAGATTATCTGGTAATGTGAAATCTTTACAGATCAAATCTCACAGTCTGAGAAACTTCAGGGCCATCCCGACTCCTGATCATATTGCATATAAATAATATTTTGGATTAAAAGTCTCTGTAAAATCAAAATATACAATGTTTATTTTGCTAGAGCACATTGTTATTCTTTGGGTAAAGTAAGTTAATCCACTGAAAAAGAGGTGGTTTTGGTAATCTTCAATCAAAGTCTGAGCATTTGTCAGCTACAATATTGCTAATCACGCTCTCCCTCACTATTAGTTTGCTATGAGAGAATGCTATGCAAAAAGAAAGCCCTGCCCCCTACTCAATATCCCATTTCAATTGGAAGTACATCAACATACTGAAAAGTTTCTGCAACTTCTGGTTTACATGATCTTTAAAATCTGGATAATTATGAATATTACTTGGTTATATTTTGTGAGAGGTTGTACTGGCATCAGAGATTTGCCAAACTGACATTGTATGAAATACACAGTGACAGTGGAGAATGTACCAAAAAAAGTGCAAGCTCCAGCACATGCATTTAACTGGAACAGCTGTTTACATGGACACTAAACATCGCTATGAAATCCAGTGAGTTCTTTATTAGAAAACTAGAGTTCTTTAAAGAACATTCATTCATTTATTCATTAATTTTCTTTTTGGCTTAGACCCTTTAATAATCTGGGTTCACCGCAGCGGAATGAACTGCCAACTTATTCAGCATATGTTTTACACTGTGGATGGCCTTCCAGCTGCAACCCATCACTGGGAAACATCCATACACACTAATTCATACACATACACTATGGACAATTTTAGCAAACCCAATTCACCTATATCCGCACTTGTGGGGGAAAACAGAACACGCGCAGGAAATCCACACAAACAAGGGGAAACATGCAAACTCTACACAGAAACACCAACTGACCCAGCCGAGGCTCGAACCCGCGACCTTCTTCATGTGAGGCGATTTTGCTACTCACTGTGCCATCGGGCTGCCCCTCTTAAAAGAACATTCCAATACAAACCCCGAAGCTTATTATTAGAACTAAAGTTAAACTAAAGAATTAGAGTTCTTTAAAGAACATTACAATACAAACACCAAATGAAACAGTGCTGTCACTCTCAACCACACTGAGATGGAAAACAGTTGTCAAATTACTTGTATTTTTTTGTTAACATGTTATATACTGTAGGATGTGCATTTGTATTTGTACAAATGTCTTGGGCAACGAATGTGGAGGAGCTGTTTGTGAATGTGAAACCAGTGTGCTGACATTTTATCCTACCTGTCAGGATGTCCTACCAGAGTACATCAATATTTAATAGCACACTCCTAGGTTTTTACTACTGGCACATGGATTTATTTAAAGAGATCATTCACCTAAAAATGAAAGTCTGCCATCATTTATTCAACCCCTCACTTGTTCCAAACCAGTTTGAGTTTTTGTTCCATTAAACACCAAAGAAGATATTTTGAAGAATGTTGCAAACCTGTAAAGGTTATTGCACACTGAATGCAAATTTTAGTCTGTAATTTTCGCACATAAAAAAAATTAATTCAACCTCACATTCTGTGAATCGTATTGACACACTGCCTCCGAAACTTTCGTCTGTCATAAAAAAGTCAAACTGAGTTCAATTGTTTTTCTATCTCTTACCATGTATCTTTTCTAAAACATACAGTATAGTGTAAAAGCGTGTTTATTACTAAGTTAACTAAAACAAAATTCTATTTTAATTGAACACATCAAATAAGGTACACAAACAGAACCGTCTATTTAGTTTTGTAAAAAGGCAAAGCTGAGTATCTGTGGTTAAAGTGCCACCCAGCGGTCAAAAGCTACTGGAGTACCAATTACCTCCGTCGCCGCAGTATGAATGGCGGCAAAAGGAACAAATTGAAGTAGTGACATCTGTACGAAAAAGCACCTTGAGAGGTGTTTTGACAGTTCAGAGCCACCTTACAAGCAAAAAGCTAAATGTGTGAAGTATCAGAAGCAATGTATCAAAATTACACTGATTTCCTGAATTAAACTTTGCATTTCGGGATAATTTCGGGATAATTTTTTTGCATATGAATAGGAAAAAAAACGCATTCAAAAGTTTTGGACTACAGTGTGCAAAGACCTTTATCATTGACATCCATAGTAAGAAAAACAATAACTAGGAATGTAAATGCTAAGAGGTTTCCAACATTCTTCAACAAAAGAAAGAAACACTGGAACATGTGAAGAGGAAGCAAAAGATGGCAGAATATTCAATTTTGGGTGAATTATGCCTTTAATGTAAGGTGTTGTTTATTTTATACTGGTAATCTGTTAAGATGTCAATGTAAAATCATCCTACCTGTTTATTATAAAGGTGCAGGACAATTAAATTAGGCGTCTTGCATTGTAAAATTAGTTTATTTAATCCTAGTGTAAAAATGATGCATTGGGGACTGCTAAAGGAACTGTTATATTTGCAAAGTAAATTTTACTTAGTCACAGATGCAAAGCAGAAGCCTGCAGTTGGATTAATTAATGAGGTAGGATAGATAGATAGTTATTATTAAAATAAATATCATTATTAAAAGAACAAAGTGTCTGGTTAGCATGTCAAATTGCACTTCCGCTGTACAAAGAAAAGCTGGGGAAATGACTTCAATTCTGAGGGTTCATTCTGAGAGTAGAAAGCTGCTAGCACGCTAGCTAACAAATGTAAACATTAGCTGAATGCCAATGACAATCTGCAGTGTGAGATCAAGTGAGGTGCTCCCTCTGGCATATGAATTCTTATTATCTTGCAATGTATGAAGGTTTGAGATTTGAGGGAAGAAACTCTGTAAAGATCCTTTTATGTGCGTGATGCAACCAGATTTCATAATCAGTTAGGATTTCAAAACTCTGGAAGTGTGAGCCCGGCCTACAGCACAATGTGCCAAACAATTCACAAATACACAATCAAATGATACAAAATGGCTTTGAGCTTCACCTACTGTTGTAAACACATCAAAACATTCTGAATATATAAATAATACAACCTTCAAAATATGACATATATGGATCATGAATATGTATGTAAGCACTCAGCCCAAAGTATATTTTCTTTGCAAACAATCAATTATTAAAGATTAAATGTACTCAACACAGTCTTATTTCATGAAAAGCATCATGGTTAAGGGTCCTTAGGAACTCAGACAGTAAGGACAGAACCGAACTGCAAGTCATAATTGATGAGAAACGCTAGAGGAGCAGTACGTTAGTTGCATTAGTTGTCTTTGATGAATGTTCAGAATTGCATATTTTCTCACTCCCCTTCATTTCTTTTCGCCAGGTTTAATCCAACAAAATGAGATATAGGGTGGCTTTTTTCTTCTGCTCACTTCTTCTCTTTATCTTTCTTGCTCTCACAAGTCTGTCCATGGCGATATTACATTCTCCTATTCTGGGTCGGTTCTTCATCCGTCTTCATATGTCCCGCCAGGCTTTTCGGCACCATATGCCACTTTGTCATGCAGCTATCTGCCTTCGTTCTCCTCCGACAATCGCTAGCAAGAGTCCTGTGAAGCCCTTACACCGAAATATTCCAGTTTTTGCATATCAATCTTAACATCTTGCTCATTTTATAGTCTTCTGAACTAGATTCAATTGGCTCAAATCATAGAGATTGGTTCTTTTAAAAACTCTTTAGCTTCCATGATTAAATCTTGAGGTTTAAATATTGATTTGGCCAAGCAACAGCATTTTGACTTGCTCAGTTCTGTTACTCATTCAACACTCTGAAAAACAGCTGTAAAGCAGTAAATGCAAATAAATAACATATACAAACTCTCATTTCCACCAAAAGAGAAAGAAGAAAAATACTGGAATCCTTGAGAAGCAAGCAAAAAAACGTAGCTTAATACTGGGGAAATGAATGAGTCACAGAAATAAAGCACAGTCTTGCATGTCTGTGTTTGTGTGTGAGCCGAGACCATTGGAGGAGCAGCGTACAGAGGTCCATAACATGTTTAGTCTTTGGGCTTTTGGCTCCTACCTTGGGAACCTGGAGGTCCTGGCTCTCCGGGGGGTCCTGGGGAGCCGTCATTACCGGGTGGCCCTGGGGGGCCTTGTCGACCTTGTGCTGCTAATATAGCCGCCGGTGTCTTTTGCAGCAAAGTTTGACTGTCTGAAAATTTCTCTAAAAAAAGAAGAATTAAGAATCAGTAATATAATATAATATAATATAATATAATATAATATAATATAATATAATATAATATAATATAATATAATATAATATAATATAATATAATAACTGAATTATAATTTAATATAATATAATATATATGAAGTTAAAGTTAAAGTTATTAATATAAATATATGGAAAAAATCTAACAATGTCATACAGCTCCCTCGAACACACACACACACACACACACACACACACACACACACACACACACACACACACACACACACACACACACACACACACACACACACACACACACACACACACACACACACACACACACACACACACACACACACACACCAGTTCTTTCTGGTTATCGCATCTGATATTCGATATTCTGCAAGAACAGCATTCGTCAGCCTCTTAACTCTTGTGTATTACTCCGCCCACATAGAGTGACAACAGATTAATAGACTCACTACCGTTTGACAAATATTGCAGCTGTTGGAAAACATATGGTACTTTTGAGGCTTTTTTTAGGCGAGAATGTAGTTATTTAGATTGCATCTGTGCAGTTTATTTATAAGGACAGTGCCTATTTTAAATAATCATAATTTTAGTTGCTATTATTATTATTATTATATTATTATTTGATTTAGCCCGTGGGCGGCCAGCCTGTCATACTGAACAGAGCAAAGACGGTTGATGTTCCACCACAAGATGGCGATAGAGATTGCAGAATAAGTCCTTAGAGAAGAGAAATACAGGGAAATCTCTGTAGACTGATGGCATTTCATGCCATTCAGCCTTATAATCTTAAAATGTGAGACATTTTGACAATCATTCAAACACTAGCTCTAAAGTGATGTTTGTGAACTGGCAATGGATTCTGCTGTTCTGACCGTCAGTTGCAGATGTGAATGAACGACAGAAGGCAGAAGGATTTTTGAATCTCTGTGTTTGATTTTCTTTTTTATATACACGATTAAGCCGTCAAACTGTAGAATAATTAGAATATCACACTCTTAGCAGTGCAATGTGGCTGTGTATAGTCAGTGGTGGGGCACTAAGGTTCTCGGCCTGTGGCCTCAAGCCTGCCCTTGCTCCCACCAGTGCCATTATAGAGTCATATATACCGATATATAACAGAGATTTACATTAACATTTATTAAACTCATTACATATTACATTCAAATAAATGTTTTAGCAATCCTGTTGTTGACAAACTTGTAAAGTGTCTACCCCCCCCCCCACACACACACCTAAAAGCTAAAATTTCCATCTAGAGACCACCTCATGGCGGCAGACGATGTACCTTCAAACACGCGCAATACTTCATTTCGGATGAATGTTTTAATTTCCTCCAAGGCAGCTGTATCACTCTGTGAAAAGAAATGAAAGAGGGAAAAAAAGAAGGGAGAGAGGGAAAACAAACATCAGCACAACATGATTTGCAGATTAAAAAGTGCAGCGACAAAATGGCAGTGATTCATGTTTTATTCATGCTGAGAAATGTTGGAGTTCTCCGAGATAAAGCGATGGATGACATATAATGGCGTAATCACCATCTCTCCTCAAAGTGTCAGGAGGAGGCCTGAATGCTGAAGAACATCTCATAGAGAAAACAAACTGCTTCCTTCCAATCACAAACACAACGTTTCGCAGCTCAAGGCCATTCTGTCAAACGCTCAGCATCCTCACCTTAGGGTTTGTGCTGGGTTAAAAGAGAACGAACGGGCTATTGCATATTCAAGCAGTTGAAATGTTCAGCGATTTCAGTCTGAAAGCCCTTTAACGTGACTCCTGTCAGGCTTCAACACACCTAATAACACAAGCGTCATGAAAAGCTTTGCAGACATGATGAGAAAGGTTGATTTTGGAAGTTTGCTTTTGCCAAGTACAACGTTGATCCTGGAACATCATTTTTGTTTGAAAATGTAATCCATACCTATTCCCTACCCCTAAACCCAACCAAAACTGTAAATTATCCCTAAAATACTAATGATGATGAAGTGAGCAGAATGATATTTGAAAAATTCTTTTGTATTTCATCATTTTAAGTTGCAACTCACTGAAATCTGGCACTGAAATCTTGGCACATTTACAACAGCTTGAGCAAGTTGTGATGTTTGATTCATAACAAAATATGTTTTTCCGATGTGGAGCTTTTCAATCATTCAGTTTATCTAGTGCTGAATATTTCATGATCAGCAAGATACGAATCAAATTGTGGTCTATTCCATACCGAATGCTGTTTGACTTTGTACACTACTGCTCAAAAGTTCAGGGGTAGTTTTTTTTTTCTCTGATCCGCTCTCTCAGGCTCCATTTAATGAACAACAATAATAAAAATGTTTAAGTATTATTACAACAGATTTAAAAAGTCATTTGATATTTTAACTATTCATATTGTAATTAAAAATTTTAATATATAAATTAATAAATAATATTATATTTAGCATAAATGAGTACACCCATCACAGGTCTCTCTTTCAAGTTGATATTTTCCATAGGATGCTTTACAATAATATATTTGTAAATATAAGACACAGTACCAAAGCTAAAATTGGAACTAATTTAACAAAAAATATGTATTAGAATTAGTACACCCAAATTAAAATGTTGGGGAAAAATTTTAATTAACAAGAAAAATCAAGTGAAACATAAAAAAAGGTGAAATTTCATTCATTCATTCATTTTCTTGTCGGCTTAGTCCCTTTATTAATCCGGGGTCGCCACAGCGGAATGAACCGCCAACTTATCCAGCAAGTTTTTACGCAGCGGGTGCCCTTCCAGCCGCAATCCATCTCTGGGAAACATCCACACACACATTCACACACACACTCATACACTACGGACAATTTGGCCTACCCAATTCACCTGTGGGGGAAACCGGAGCACCCGGAGGAAACCCACGCGAACGCAGGGAGAACATGCAAACTCCACACAGAAATGCCAACTGAGCCAAGGATCGAACCAGCGACCTTCTTGCTGTGAGGCGAACGTGCTACCGCCACTGCATCGCCAGTTGAAATTTTGTCGTTTTTATTTTTTATTTTTTTGCAATAACTCGTTTGACTTTAAAAGTATTATCAATTTATTTCTAAAGATGTTTGGTGACCAAAATTTTGATGGATATAACTATTTAATAAAACTATTTTGTTTAAATGCACCAAGTAATATTAGTTATATTCACTGGTAAATAGTAATGTTCAAAAAGGGGTTGTACTCCCTTTTTAGGTTTCAGTTTAGTGTGCACACTATCATATTAAACTTTTATTATAATAGTTTTTGTTGTTTTAGTTTCAAATTATCTTAATGGTTTATACATATACCCTGCTTCCAGAGCATAGGCTCTGCCCAGTAGCATTCAGTGACTCAATGACACTTGCCTATCTACACAGTTGTATCAACAACAAAAGAACCGTCAATATTAAAACAGATTATAATCAGGGAGGCTGTAATTCTGCTGCTAGTAGGGATTGTATACACATGTGTTTCTGGCATTCTATAAACAGGACAAGTCTAACAGTGAAGGAACTTTTGCTTTGACACGTCCAGTTTGAGAAGTTACTTCTTAGTTCCGCCAACCTGATTTCAACAGGTAGGACCTGTTCCTGCATTACATCTATGTTGATCCTGGAACAACATTCCAGTCGATCAGAATTAAGGAATATGTTTACCAGTTATGTTAAGTTTAGGCTTACGTTTGGGTTTCCACATAATTGTTATTCAACTATTATTCCCCTCTGATTTTTGGAATAATTTACAGTTCAAGAGTTCACACTTAGATAATGCTTGACTATGTCGGCGCAATAGCTTAGTGGTTAGCGCCCCGACATATGGTGCAGTAGCACGTCAGGGCGTCCCGAGTTCGAATCCCGGCTCGAGGACATTTCTTGAGAGCTACCCCCCCTCTCTCTCTCTTCAACTTCGCTTCCTGTCTAAATACTGTCCTATCTAATAAAGGCAAAAAGGCCCAAAATAAAGATAAAAAAAAAATAATGCTTGACTATATTAGCAGGTTTGGCACGCTATCCTGGGAGAGAACCCTGAGCTCAGAGATAGATGAGCGCTAGGCTCCCGCATGGTCAATGAGCATTAGGACGGATTCAGGAGGATCTCATAATCAACAAAACAGTGGATTGTTTATGGTGTCAGATAATTTTGGAAGATTTCATGTCTTTTTCAGAGCATTTGATTACAGACAAATGAAGCACGGTTTATGGAGAGATCGCAAAGAGAATTTTGTTGAAAGACTAAATGAATGGTTGAACTGGATCCGACTACAGCTGCATTGAACTTAAAGAGATAGTTCACTCAACATTTTTTCTCATGTGGTGTTAAACCTTTAAGATTTTTTTTTTCTTTGGTTGAACACAAAATAAGATATTTTGAAAAAAATGCTGGTACCCGTCAATATCAATAGAAGTAAAAAATACTATGAAAGTCAATAATGTTAATAAAAAAATGTTAATATTTATTAGCAGAAATTGCAAAGAGTTGCATAAAGTTCCTGATACGACTATATCCATCCACTACCCTCAACACACATACACATACTGTCACACCTGTTGTAGGGCCCTCATGTGGATTCTTGAGGGCACTAGCATTTGTTTTGTTTTTGCTTGTATCTCTGCACACATGATCACTTATCGTTTTCAGCTGTTCCTTGTTTGTTTAATTGAGTCCTGTCTTTATAAGCTCTGTTCGTTTTTGTGTTTCAGTTGCCTTTGGATTTTTGATTTGTACTTTTGTTCCTCGTGATTTGGTTTGTTTGTTTGATCACTTTGTATCATCTCAATGTTTTGGATTTCTGCTCGTTTCTTGTCTGCACTGAGTTTATTGGATCATCGTTGTTTAGTTTAATAAATTTATTTTGCTGCACATGGATCTTTTCTTGTTTTTGTGAAACCCTCTCGTGACACATACAGTACACACACAACATACTGGTAATGGTCTCCTCCTAAATGACGAGGTTGAGGGTGAGCTTGATTAGGACTGAAAGTGTTGGATATAGACATCACAGCAGGGGGCTCATTGCTTCAGCCTGTGCTCTTCAGAGCCTGATGGCTTTGTGAACACATGTGGATAATTATTGTAATGCGGAGCTACTAATTATTTATTCTGGAGTGTTCACGCGTGTGTTATGCCCAACAAAGCAATCAATGACGGTTGCCCTCTGAATAGCATTGGGTGACCCCGCGGTTATGGATTCGGGCTGGAGGCCAGGAGGCTGTTGCAGATTGGGAGAAAGCCAGTTATGGGATCTTTACTGAGGTCAGAGATGTGCTCCAGCTCCAGAAGAGCACGCAGTCACTGTAATGTGGAAAGGGTTCAGACTGACAGTGATTTTATTGCTGGAGGTTATGGAGTGGCTGTGTTGTTGATTGTAGTGGGTGTTGATGCTGCTGAAGGCCCTACAGGTTGATATGAGTGGTTGTGCCATTGGCCATAACTTCAGGAAATCCAATCTCAATTGGGATATAATGTTTGGCATTGAGTTAGTCTCCTTAAGACACATTTATATTTATGTACCACTGAAGTTGCTTCGGTTAATAACTCATTAAAAACCAAGCTTTGTTTGCATACTATAAAATCTGTACAAAATGTCAAAGCTCCAGAAATCATTCAGATATGCTGATTTGATGCTTAATGTATCATCATCATCAACACTACAGAAAAAAAAAAGTTGTAGCTTATTTAAAATGAGCTGAAACAACACAATTATTGAGATTTCGTTTGGACATTTATTTTAATGTTCAATCCACTTAAATTTATTCAATCTGTAAAGTTAACTTAATCAATTTGTGTTGGGACAATATGATTGAACTGTGTGGAACCCTGCATTTTTTACAGTGAAAATAGTTTTGTTGAAGCCATCAAATATGCTCTAATATAAAATAATGTGGCGATGTGGGTAGCATGTTCGCCTCACAGCAAGAAGGTTGCTGGTTCGAGCCTCGGCTAGGTCAATTGGAATTTCTGTGTGGCATTTGCATGTTCTTCCTGTGTTGGCGTGGGTTTCCTCCAGGTGCTCCGGTTTCCCCAAAACCGGAACCGGAATTGGGTATTTAAAAATTAATGTGAATTAATTCAAATTAATTATTTTTTTAATTATTAATCAACAAATAACAACAAATTAATTTGTAGTCTACTGTTTCAACTACCTCACCCGTAGGGTCTTTGTTTTACCCATAATCAAATCATAAATAAATAAAAATAAGTTGCACACAAATTGCCTCAAGTCAATCAACAGTATCTGGAGGCTTTTGATAAAATTACTAAGTACAAGCGTAAAAGTGAAAGACTGAAGCAGTGTACTGAAGCTGTGACACGTTACCTGAAAGATTCAAAAGACAGAAGAGTCGTTAGATAGAGAAAAGATTAATAAAATATCACGTTTAATAACTATAATGAGACGCGGACCAGTGGAACATCCTTGATAAATTGTCCGATGTGCACTGTTCTCTGGGCTGACTGCTGGAGCTCAGACGCTGCAGCACATGGCAGAGTTTGTGTGTGTGTGTGGTAACATGATGTGTGTTTACAGCAGTAAAGTGTGGACGGAGAGATCTTTTCAGAAATGCTCAGTGAATAGCCAGCGTGGACATGGATCATTTTCGTTTTAAAATGCCATTTTACAACTAAGACGTATTAGTGTAAATGGGGTCTAAGTTTGCGAAGGGGGCAGGGTGGAGGATCGCAATGCCGGCTCAGCATCATGATGTCTATCAGCCATTTACTATGTAAGATGACATCGTCTAAAGACCCAACCCTACCCAATTCTCTTTAGCTTGTAGGTGTAGGGCTAAAGGGAAGGGCTAGATAGCTCTCGAAACAGATTTTTCAGAACCACACTTGAAAACAAGAGGTACAAAAATTAAACCATCTACAACGGCAGCATGGATGCACAAGGTAGTGAGGAGATAATAAATTAGTATTTTTTATCAGTATTATGAATTTTTACGACAAACAAGCACACGTTTTAATATATTCATAACTGCGTTTGTGTTTTACCGTCATGCTTAAAAACAAACAAACAAACAAACAAATAAAAAACGCTAAATCTGTAGGCCATAATAGTAACTCCCTTATAGCAGTCCCACAACATACTTTCACATCTTTCACTCAATGACACTCGAATACCTTTCAAAAAATTTTAATGGCTGGGAATTACCTTTTTACAGTGTCTGGTATACTGTTAATGTTGTTTTTGTGTGTTAACCTAGATAAATATAGCCATGGTGTAAAAACACAGTACAGTTATGAGTTTATTGCCACATTATATTGTTATGATAACATAATATGTGCCCTCTATGATTTCCTGAAAATAAATACCAATAAATAATGCAACTGGGATAACTACAGCAGTCGCTATCATCGATCTAATATGAAGCAAGAGATCACAATGACATATGATGACGTGTGCAGGTGTTACAGTGCAGTCCCATTTTTTAAGGGTAAATTTTAAAGCCCTTCCCATCCACACTCTGGGGATGGGCAAGTGGTAGGGGTATAAAAATAGAATTTGGATTGGCCCTAATACTTTTCATTATTAACATATTTGGTCAAATTAGATATATTTTTACTGAATTAGAATCTGAATTTCTTTGGAAAATAAAGTACCCCAAACTGTAATGTATGCATGTTAGTCTGAGCAATAATAGGCCCAAACAAAGCCTGATTTAAAATCATTCATCAACTATGGTGAAGTCTTTTATAGTATAAATCATAATAAAGCATTCATTTAACATGTGATACATTCCATGTCTATGAGTTGTAAGTAGGAGTATGTGCATACCAACAATTTGACGCTCCCTGGTGATGTTAAAGATCCAGGAGGGCCTGGTTCTCCTTTCTGTCCAGGCGGGCCCTGAGGACCGATGGTCCCTTTATCTCCAGTTTTCCCTCTTTCTCCTTGAACTCCTCTCTCGCCTGGAATCCCTGGATCTCCCTGCAAAAAAAAAGCCAGGATATACAGTAAATAACATCACAGCACAAAGAAAGCTGTTTCAACCTTATCTTCAATCCTTGACTGTATTTCATAAAATGCAACAGCTTAAAGATTTCAGGCCAATCCAGTAAAACATTTTTTTTAGTTTTGTTTTACATTTTTCTTCTAACATAACAGCAATTGCAGCACAGTAACTCCAATTAGTGGCTAAAAATGTTAAATAATACCATACATTTAGCAGTCACTTCAACTGCTTGTTAAACAAAAATATCTAATCAGCCAATCACATGGCTGCAATAGAAGGGTAATTAAAATTACTTTGAATGTCATGTTGTTGATTTTAGATGGGCTGGAGTTTTTCATGCACAGCCATCTTTAGGGTTTAAAGACAATTGGCAGAAGAACAAAATGGCAAATGGCAGTATTTTGTATATAAATATATAATATATAAATATACAACATATGTTGATACAAGTAATCAGAGGAGAATGGCCCAATGAGATAATTTAAAGCAATATTCAGCAGTGACTGAGGTCTGCAGAAAATACAACGATTCTAGCCTTGAAGCAGATGAGCTACAGCAGCAGAAGACATACTAGTTACACTTTTGTTAGCTGAGGCTACCTAGGGGTTACCAAAACTGGAAAATAAAAGACTGGAAAACGTATAACTTAAAAAAACATGAGTTTTGATTCCTGCTGAGACATTTGGACTGTAGGGTCAGAATTTAGTGTAAAAAACATGAAAGCCTGGATACATCCTGCCATACATCAACAGTGTGGTGCTGGTGTAATGGTTTAGAAGATATTTTGGGCTCCTCAGTACAATTAGGGCATTATTTAAACGCCACAGCCTATCTCAGCAGTTCCTACTATATCTATCCCCTTATGACCAAAGTATACTCATCTTGTGTTGTTGCTTTCCAGCAGGATAACAAGCCACGTGTCATAAAGCTGTAATCGTCAATATAACAGTAAAGTCACTATGCTCCAATCCTCCATAGCCATCAGACCCCAACCCTTAAAGACCACCTACTGTACTTTGATGTGCTGCTGGTTGTATGATGCTATCATGTCAATATGGACCTAAATCTCCAGCAACTTTTTGGAATTTATGGCATGAAGAATGCCAGTTTTAAATGCAAAATGGAGCCCAACTTAGTACAAGCAAGGTGCACCTATTGTATAAAAATATCTGATGATGTATGAAATCAGTTCAAACAAAATATAAAAATCGTACCCGTTCTCCCTTGGTACCTCGGTCTCCAGGTCTGCCTGTGGCTCCCTGTGTAAATACAAAGGGAGAGAAATATAAGGAAAAAGTAAACATTTAACATTTTTTATATTTCAGTAAAGAATAAAATAATACAAATAATCATTTCTCCCCAATATGGTGAGTTTGCCAGATTTTGCAAAAGCCTAAATGAAATATCTATATATAAGTCCCCAAAGTAATCCCTTACACACACATAAAGCAAAAACACACTGTTTTTCATAGAGTGCTCCCAAACCACATTAGAAGATAGAAATTATTTGGCTGAGTAATGTCCCAACTTTTCCTGCTATTTAGTGGAGAGCAGAACGAGAGAGCTCTTTGGATTTACAAATGACCGTTTTCTCCCCGAACTAATCAGAGCCGTGAACCTCTGGACATTCCTCTCTTCTCCATCTCTTCTGAGAGGACTCTAAAGAGAAACACCTCTCATTGTACTCCAAAACCACTCTGGCATTTCTCCCTCCCTTTGCCTTCCCATCTATCTGTGCTCCTCTCTCGCATCACGGCTCCTACTTGCTCCTCGGGGAACATCTCTGTATCAAATTCTCCTGCCGGATTACAGCAGCCGAGCAAAAAAGAAATGCAATCTAGCCTTCGTTTCTAAAGCGGGCGGCACTTTGTGAAAGCATTCTCAACCATCTGCTTTCATCCACACCCCCATCAATGTCGAACACTCTCTCCTTCTCTCTATTCCCCGGCTCCTGATGAGGAGAGCTTAAAGCCATCACCGTGCCCACTGAATTGTGTTTCCCTCAGCCCCTGCCATAAAAGAGACAGAAAAGTATGAAACGGAGATATCTGGGAAACTTCCGTCCTGCTAGATGGCACTGTTGCACCACCAAATGAGAGAGAGAGAGAGAAATGGCCATCTGTGAGCAAAACCGGGAGGAGGGAAAGAAAAGAGAGGAAATCTCAATGAGTGGTCCAACACCCCGCAAACACACAGTCGTGCCATTTGAGAAAATGGTGACGTGAATGAAAGTGAAAATAAGGTCGGTGAACTTCCTGCAGGTGATCTGCTCCCAGTTGAACCTTGACTCATTCAGAGAGGGTGCTTAAGGGGCAATAGATGGACCACTTGTCGAAACACTGTGCTTTAAAACCCACCGTCTCTACTCAGTACTGCTCTCATACTGTTGTGAATCGTCGTGTGAGATGTAAAATGTCGAAAACTATGTCATGAATGATGACCGTTGTTACTAAAAATAAAAAACTTTTTATATAAAGTATAACTTTATAATAAAATATTTGCAAAGTAACCTAAAGTAAATTTTATTATTTTACCTGGGACATCTCACAGACATATAGCTGAACAAACACTATTACAATGTTTCCAACCCGGACTCATTTTCAAAACCTACCACTATATTCATTTATGGAGAGTGCCAAATATGTCCCAGGAGGTACATTTTTAGCAGTTTTTGTCTTTGCAAATCCACTAGAGACCACTGTGTACGCTTTTTCAGATCTCAAATTTCTCACGTGGCTGCCTGCTGTTCTCCTGTAAATCCACCCCTGGGCCACTGTCGACTGATTGACTGACCGATCGACTGACCCCTCCTTCCCCAAACCCAACCAATAGTGTTTTCAAATGCATTGACTGACTTGCCCACCCTCTTCCGACAGTTTTAAAAAGCAATCCAGAAAAAGAAAAGCCCTCACCTGATTTTACCACGTTTTCAGATTTTACCCCATTTACACCCTGTTATTTACTTGATTATTTTATTTTTTGGCCTCTGTTTTGGTCTTGCCTGCTTTCTGAAACCATTCTACACTAGACTCAACCCCCGTCATCATGATCAACTCTGCATCTCAAGTCCGCCGACGTACATGGCGAGCTACTAAACAAACTGGTAACAGTGGGTAAGCTGTCCATACGGAGGTAACCGTTTAGCTGGTAAGCACGAAAAGCAATGGCGTCATACTGTCCCGTAGCGTTCGTTTAAAAGAAGAAATGCAGTCATAAGTACTTCAGGCTGCATAATTCGTGATCTCCAGAATTGTACATAGGGGGACATTTTCAGAATGCGCCTAGTTTTACAGATATCAACAGACATCTCCATGATTTACTTGTGCCATCAACTGAATTTCAAGAGTTCACACTTAGCTGATGATTGATTTTAAAGCTTGTTTGGCATGCTGTCTCGGTAGAGATCCCTGAACTCATAAGACCCTCGATCCCAGGGCTCTCTCCCGTTTGCGAGGCGAGAGAGGAGTTTAAGCTCAGGTAGATCTCAAGAACTCCCCTGCTGTAGCAGCTAATAAACAGATAGCGATTGCTCTTAAGAGATAACTACTTACTAGGAGCATGTCTATTGTGCCGATTTGGATCAGTCAATTAACTTAAGTTGCATGTTTTTGGACGGTGGGAGGAAACTGGGGAACCCAAGGGAAACCCACGTGAGCATGGGGAGAATGTGTGAGCTCCGCACAGAAACTTCGGCTGGCTTGTTAAGGACTAGAACCAGTGACGTTCTTACTGTAAGGCTACAGTAGCCACCTTGCCACCCATATAGGAAAGGAGCAGGGGCCTCATGTATCAACGCTGCGTACGCACAAAAACTTTGCGTACGCCAGGTTTCACGCTCAGAATCGCTCACGTTTGGATTTACTAACAATGAACTGAACGTGGGAATGTGCGCAGCTTCACGGCAGCTTTCTGGCAGGCGTACGCACATTTTTTGTGTGTGTCTGTTTTATTTCCATTGGCGACTCCTAGAGGCAGTTGTGTTAAATTCCTCTCTACAAAGTGTCTGAGCCTTGCAATGGCAGCTGTATGAGACGGGTTCAGCAGGTATATAAGGTTTCCATACCATACATTTGACCAGCTAAACATTAAAGCACAATTTGCAGCAGTCGCCTGTTTTTCCAATGTAATCTGAGCTATCTACTGCACGCTCATTGCTATAAAGACACTATCTGAAGATGAATTTGCATGCGTGAATCAGAAACATTTCCATTCAATAAATGTGCAAATAAAATATGATGCTTATTGATATGAACTTATTGATGATGCCTACTTGTCTTTCTCGTGATAAATAGTTGGCAAAATCTGATATGTAGCGCGGGAAAAAACAAGAAAGAGTTTTTTAGACACTGGATTCGAGCTGCGTTCATGCTCGAACGTATCAATTCACGATCACAAGCGTCTTACGAGCGCGCCACTGAGACTGCTAGGCGTTCTGTAACATTTTACAGGTATAAAGCACACTATTTGTTTTTTTTAATGCACTCACTGCGATATGTTCAGACCCAACTGTGTTGACCGCATCAGCTAAACTCTCCCACTCTATTTTTTTCTTTTGTTGTTAATTCCGAAGAACAAACTTGCAAATAACACCGCTTTTCTCCGGTCTACCTCCGAAAGCAGCACCTCCAATTCACATTCTGTTCAAAGTTTCTCTTTTTGCTTGCTTTTTCCTTTTTCGTTGGGTTTTGCAATTAGCATAGTCATTAGCATATTCATACGGGGGAGGAGGCAGGGAGGGGTTTTGTGCTCGTGCATGTTGCGCTCAGTTTCACGTTCATTCAGATGTACAAAAGAATATGCGTGAGATTCCGCGTACGCAGTGTTTCATACATCTGAAATTTTTTCTGCGTACGCACATTTACAGCTTTGTGCGTACGCAATGTTTTAGTAAGATTTCCACGCAAGTCTTCGTACATGAGGCCCCAGGAGTTTGGGTGGAAGGGGTATTCTTCAAAACGAAGATGGTTGTCGTATAGAACTTAGGGTATTTATAGGGGCTTTGGAATCGTCTGATTGGTGAATCAAGAATTGAATAATGCAGGCCCGGCTGCAAGCAATCATAAGCAAGTGATCCTCTCGAAATTAGTATATAAATAAACTTCACATAGAGTATCTGACATAACAAGTAATATAAAATTACTAAAACGTAACCCTAACATTCAGAAATATAAAAATAAACGCAAACACTTCAAAATACTAAAGCAGTACATGAATACCGAAATACTGCAATTACGCTACTACACTACCTTACTGCCAGATTTGGAAGTTGGATTATCAATCAACAGGGACCAAATGCATCATTAGATTAGATTTAGATTAGATTCAACTTTATTGTCATTACACATGTACAAGTACAATGCAACGAAATGCAGTTTAGGTCTAACCAGCAGTGCAATAGCAGCAAGTGCAGGATACAGGAATAAGTTATAAAGTGCAGTTATAGAAAACTATGGTGATATTTACAGATGGATGTACTATGAACATTATATACAGGTTGGATAAGCTATGAGCAGATTTACAATATATGAATATATGTGCAGGTTGCTATCAATAATCAGTAGTGTGCAGATAGATAAACATGATTACAAGTGTATATGTTACAATATATGAATATATGTACAGGGATAGATACACATGATTACAAGTGTATATGTTATAATATATGAATATATGTACAGGGATAGATAAACATGATTACAAGTGTATATGTAACAATATATGAATATATGTACAGGTTGCTATTAATAATCAGTAGTATGCAGATAAATAAGCATGATTACAAGTGTATATGTATAGTGGGTGTGTACCAATGACTGTAAAAAATATGGACGACGCGACAGCCCCTTTTGCCATTGAACGCCTTGAGGGCAAAACGCCTGCTTGACGGGCACAAACTGTCGCAAAAGACTGCTGAAATTGGAGCCAGACATGCGCAGAAGGACTGTCTGATGGAGCCAGAGGAGGAGCCGCGATAATGAGCGGAGTCGAGCTTCCAACCAAACGCTTTATGTAAAATCAACCACGCCCCCCGAACTTTTCACTCGACTGCCGGTGTCTGCACTATAACAAACGCTCACTGATGTAAATAGAAGCACTTACATTAAAAAAACACAATAATATACGGTTTAAAAACGGTGTGATGTAAGCTGTTAAACTTTAATAAAAGCAATACATGCTGGACTGCAGAAATAAACGATCTTTTATACACTCTAGCCTGAATATGAGCACAAATAATATATTCTCTTATTGTTATATTTGTTGTTGGTATTTGTTATCTTCATAGGGGTAGAAATAACACTTGTAAAATATGAACAATAACATATAAACAACACATACATATTTAGAAAGGTTTTTATTTTTAATTAGCCATCAACAGAACCCAAAATATAGCCTACACACCATAACGATTTACCATGCGGGAACAATCGTGCGTTTAGAAGATAAATACAGCAAGATTACTAAATATCAACAGGATATTTACACATCCCAACCCTGCAATTTGTCAATTTGTGCAAAAAAACTTTGCACTATTAATACAACGTCTATCTGCTGTAACATAGTATATTGTTTATTCATTTTCGCTTGAATTGTTTATTTATTTAATTTTTTGCCTCCGTTTTCATTTGGTTTATTCGATGCCTTCATTATATCTGGCAACGAGGAATTTACATTCTTTTTAATGTTAGCTGGAGTGTTCAAATAAAACGCCAACAGTAAATGATGTAAATAAATAATATCTAACATTTACAGCTCTATTAGGTTATATAAGATTCGATTTCAAGAACTTTATAATAATTTATAACAGCAAATTCAGTAGATCACTTAATAACATGCCAAAACTTAAAATGCAGAGACGTCCTGTAAAGCAAGTTCAAATAACCTTACAGGAGATCAACGTGGAGATTATTATTTAAACACAAAGAGAATTACTGCTAACGATCTCCTGTATACCCCGTACTTAAATGGGTTTATTTTATTGTGCAGTTTTATTGTCATTTTTGTATTTATTATTATTATTATTTAATACTTGTGCAATCGATACAGGTTTATTGTTATTTATTTTGTCCTTTATTTAAATAATTGCTATGTATGCTGTTTGCATCTTTATTCAAAGGTTAAACTCAGTGATACACTTTGCGTTCACATAGTAGCATGCGTTTGTTGTTATATCAACAAAAATGGGTGTAATAACGTTAACAAATGTGAGGGTTTTATATAATGAAGATTCAATCGCGCCAGCTCCGGGCATCAGCGCATAACCTAGTCGCGGCGTCGCGGGCTGATTCCGGCTCGCATGCGGCAGCGCCTGCTCGCTCGGCCGCCGCATCTGGCTCAATTGACTCAGGCTGGAATCGGGCAGTGAGTCCAGGCATCCGGAGTAGGTCCAGCAGAGGTAGTCAGTCTGAGGGGTAAGTCTCCGGCAGGCAAGAACTGGCCCCAGTGTATTTTGCTATCTGGGTGGCTAGGCGTGTATTAGCAAACTAATAAAGCCCGAAAAAAGCTCTGACCTTAGCGAATAAACAGTGTTCCACCAGATCATGTATGTCAGAAACTGTAGTTTACTGCTGAACTCATTTTGTCATAGTAAAATAACACAGAAATCGAGTAATAACACTTCAGTCTCCTGCCGAAGCTCAGACGCCGCGCTTTGAGAAACTGTCAATCACAGCTGTCAATCACGATGACACGCCCAGCATTAAATTACTGCTAAAAACAAACTGTTTACAAAAATGAAGATCTGCACCTATTTCAGCACAATAACCAGCGCCTTAATCCACCAGAACTATCTTTCGAGACATTTTATTGCAAGTGTAATTAATTTTTTTATTTGGGCTCAAGTCTCCTTCATTAACACGGAGGAGGCGGGCTTTATGACTTGTACTGCAGCCAGCCCCCAGGGGGCGATCTAACGGCCGAGACCTTCACTCAAACGCAGGCTTGCGGCACACTTGGTGTGTACATAATTACAAATGCCCATATGCAGTGGATATGCACAGTTCAATAAGTAAACAGTTCAATGTGGTGCAGTGAATGTGCAAATTTTAAATGTGCAAATGTTAAACAGTGCAGTTATTGCGAGGAGTTTAAGTTAGAGGAGAGTGGGGGGTGTATTGGGGGGGGGTGCAAAAGAGTCAGTGGGGGGCAAAAGAGTCAGTGTGGGGCAGAGTTCAGGAGGGAGACAGCTCTAATCATCCAATAATCTAATCATGCATAAACCTCAACCTCTGCATTGCGTTTTATAAAAAATAAGAGACCAGAGCATTAGCAAAGATGGCCACCGAACAAACCGACTTCTGACTCATCCCTCCACCTCTTTCTCACTCGCCTCATTAAAATCTGCAGATGTAGGATGTATTTACTGTGTTTGTCTGGCTGTGACTGAGGCTTATATATGTGCGTGTGTGTGTGTTTTTGACTCTCTAATGTATCTGATCTCTGCTGTAATGTGCAGAAGTGTGATTTGTTGGACAGTTTTGCTGGAGATATGCTTTTCGGTATGACAAGGCATCAGAGAATAGATTTTTTTTTTGACGTGACGAGGCTTTGGAAACCTTGTTTGTAGGGGACATTTAATTAGTGATCACATGCATTATTCATAATTTAATGGCTCATGGGCAGGATTTTATCCACACTGGAGAGCATTAGCAGTGAGTAAGCGCTCTTATTATTGAAAACTTTACAAGACTAATGACTGGTGTTGGGCTTTTATTTGCTTGGGAAAGAAAGAAATCAAGTGAGACAGAGATAAATGCAGGCCAGCACAGACACAAGCCTTTGTCATCCACTATCCAAACGCGCTGGCAAAACATTAAGGCACACTTTATTAGAGCCTGCATGTATTAAAGTAAAAGCATTCATTTTCTATTAACGTTATCATTTAAGAGACATACTGTAAGCCAAAGGTCACTCATGCATACAGTGTACACTCTCATACCTCATAGCCTGGAACTCCATCTTTTCCTGGCCTTCCCTGTGGATGACACAGAACATTACCATCAATCTAAGAAACAATGGATTATTTATCATTTCCAAAGGTAATGAGATTTTTTAATTAGCATACATATTTGGGAATGCTATAAGAAAACTGTACGGTAGGTTCTTAGAAGTGAAAATATGCAAGCCAGTTACTTCAGAGTTAACAATAAAAGATGTTTCCCAAAGATGGGTTGCGGCCGGAAGAGCATCCGCTGTGTAAAAACGTTCTGGATAAGTTGGCGGTTCATTTCGCTGTGGCAACCCCGGATTAATAAATGGACTAAGCAAAAAAGAAAATGAATGAATAAAATGTGTTGCAATTGTATCATTGTTAGAAAGTTCAGAAATGGAAGAAGAGCAGCAAAAAGGAGAAATACAAAAGAAATGACTGAGAAAGATATTGAGAAACTGATATTGTTACAATTAAAAGTCATAATTATTTATCCATTCACCTGTCAATATTTTCTCTATCATCCATATATCCATACCCATTACTCTTCATCAATCCATCCATCCATCCAGTCTTATTTATTCTACCATCTATCATTCATTTAGTTTTATTTGTCCCATTATCCATCTATACCTGTTTCTCTCCATACACCCAGTCTTATTTGTCCTCCTATCATCCATCCATACTTACCAATTTCTCTCCATCCATCCATCCATCCATCCATCTATCCATCCATCCATCCATCCATCCCTTCATCTATCTATCCCTCCATTTGTCCATCCATTTATCCATCCATCCATCCATCCATTAATCCATCCAACCATCCATCCATCCATCTAACCCTCCATTTTTCCATCCATCCATCCATCCATCCATCCATCCATCCATCCATCCAGTGGTATTTGTCATAATTTATCTATCAATACCCATTTCTTTCTCTCCATCCATCCATCCATCCATCCATCCATCCATCCAGTCTTATTTGTCCTATCATTTATTCATGTATACCCATTTCTCTTCATTCATCCATTCATCCATCCATCCAGTTCTATTTGTCCTATCATCTCACCATCTATACTTATTTACCTATTTTCTCTCCATCTCTATCCATCCATCTATATCTATTTCTTTCCATTCATCCATCCATCCATCCATCCATCCATCCATCCATCCATCCATCCATCATCCATCCATCCATCCATCCATCCATCCATCCATCCATCCATCCATCCATCCATCCCTACATCCATCCTTCCATGCATTTATCAGGTGATTTGTCCTTTCATACATCCATCTACCCATACTTCCATCTGTCCATCCATCTTTCCATCCATACTCTCTTCATCCATCCTTCCATCCATCCATCCATCCATCCATCCATACATCCCTCCATTCAGCCATCCTTATTTGTGCTATTATCTATCCATCTATACTTATTTCTCTCCATACGTCCTTCCATCCATCCATCCATCCATCCATCCATCCATCCATCCATCCATCCATCCACCCACCCATCATTTAATCCAACCACCCTAAGATCTCCAAATATAGAAAGTTCCTTATAAGAAACCCAGTTCTTAAAATTAACATGCATCAATACAATTTTTGTGTCTAAAACCCATGTATACTATGTACGGATAATGCATTTAAAATGAAATTTATTCATGAAAACAAATTCCATAAAAATCAGAAGTCATAACTTAAAGTCAATATGAAATCAAAACAGTCCCTATTCACATTCTTAATAAAGGCTTTGGGTCTTGCTGTGATGGATTCATCAGTGCAGGTGATTGCGAAGATTTCTGCCTTGAGAAATGTCCCGTTTCATTTAGAAATAAACTAATCTCTCTTGCTTTGATATTTTGTATCGTCTAATGCAACAACGTTCATTCATTTTAAGCATGTCTAAACTATCCAAACACTTCCTGGAGCCACTATGTCAGCTTTGATGCGGTGTACTTTGTATTCGTAGTTGGTTTTTGCTAACTTTGTTCCACTAAGGTTAAGAGTGAACAATTAGGAATCAAGCTAGATAAACTAGGAATAAATTGCAAAACATCACCTAGAAAAAAAAAAATCCTTAGGGGAATTCTGTGTATTCAGCTGAAGATATTACGGCTGTGCGAATAACGAAGCAATTATATGAGACCCGTAGAGCCACTGTACTCCTTCAGCGAGACAGACAATCAAACGTTTACCCCAGTGACTGCACTCATTACCACAGCACAAATCAGCCGGGTTTAACACCACACCGCCGAGAAGAATATGAGGAGATTACTCTGTGCTATCAAGTGAGATATTACAGCTGAAAATAGTTGCTGCGGTTTACAGAGAAGCATGCAACATAGATCTGTGATGTATGCCACTAATATATCACACTTTATTAGAGTAAATCGTAGAAATTCAGCTGTATATCTCATCCTCGTGCTTGTTTATAATGATTTGTAGCCTCAGCGTTCTCTAATTAGAAGCATCTCAGACTATGAATCGAAATGGAGACGAGTGAGCAGAAATCCGGAATCGAGGAAAAACAAAGCCGACAGGAACGTCTGTGTCAGAAGTCTGAATCCACAGCGAGTCAAACTGTGAATCAATCATCAGACTAATCAGTTAATTAAATCTGGTCTGCAATTCATGGCTGGATCAAATGATGGATCAATCTGTTATAAGATCACAGAGCTGACAACAGAGGACAGAAACTAATGAGAACTAAATGTTATAGAGGGTGTAGATCACAGTCAGGTGCAGATTTAATGGTAGTTACAGGTTGATCCAGAGACCCCTGGGGACGACAAAAGAGATCCAAGAAAAATAAGCACTAATTATAAAAAAAATGGATGTATATTGCTGCTTTTTTACGAAATATTTTATTATACAGTTTAGGCCTGTAGCAATAATCAATATATCGACTTATCGCACAACACATGGCCATTTTTGGAAATGCAATATATATTGCCCATACATAAAAACAATTCCATCAACATTTTAGCTGATTGTGCAACATCTCTATCTCCTCTTGGAGGTGTTGGTGTCTGTATGGTTTAAAAAAAAAACACAATAGTATTTAGTATAAATAACTATAATACATTTTTAGTTGGGTGTCTGACAGCCGAAAATAGATCTGGTAGCAGATATCGCAGCCTCTGTTACTTTTTACCTTGTACTTTTTTGTTAACATTTATTATTATTTATTTAGGATATCCGTTTTCATATTCTGATTCCAATGTTTAATTATTAAATTGTTAAAAAGACTATATTTCTTTAAATAAATTATTATCTGGAAATGTTTACTTGCATTCTGATGATACTACATTGTCATTCTGTCATTATATAATGAGTGGCATTAAATGGTCTGAAAATTACAATAATAATGTTTAATTGCAATATATTTGGTGCAATATACCGTACAACAAAAAATAGATATTGTGACAGGCCTAATACAGTTATCTTCATTAACATGACAACGTGGTCACCTAATGTCTTTAGGTATATAACAATAATCATACATTTAAATTGTCACTCCAGACAAAAGCATCTGCTAAATGACTGTATGTAAATGAATATTTAAATTTAAAAGAGGACTTTTTTCTTTTCTATTGGCATTTTTTTCCCAACATATTTATTAGGACTTTTTGGGAAAGAAGTTTTATTGTAAGTTTTTTTTTTTCAAGTTTTATATTTAGAACTTATTTTTGCAGCATGATCTTCAATCATATTCTTAATATAGTTTGCACAAATTTATCATTGCATAGCATCCCATAAAAAGTATTAGTTTAAAATATATATTTTTTCTTTCTGAAAAAACTGTCAGGGTGTACTTGTTAATGTTGCGTAAAATATACGATTCCAGTAATAACATTAATGTTTTAATATGTAGATTATTATATCTATCCTTATTCAGTTTAATGTTTTACCTCTTCCCCCTCCTCCCAATTTATAGTAGTGAACATTTGAAGTGGTTCAAAAAAGTTTCAAAATTGTCAAGACAAGGCTGGGTGTGATTCAATAGATTTAGGACGAGTTTGATGAAACCTGTGTTTGTCAACCAGGTTCCTGGAGGACCACCAGGTCTGCACGTTTTCCAGTGTAGCAACCGAAATTGCATACTTCCATACTATATAGTACACTAAAAACAGCATGCGAGCCGAGTAGTATGTACCAATTCATAGGATTCGAAAAACAGTATGTGAGAAGTCCTGGATGACCTACTAATTCCGGTGAGATTCTGAAGGGAGCATCCAATGCATACTATACTATGCCATGATGCACCACGAGAGAATTTGAATTGGATTGAATAGAAGTGAAACAACGCAACTGATGCAGGTATACCACGTGATCATGACAAAATGGGGAATGTAGTATGTCTGTTTCATTCATACTACTCACATTAATTCTGTGTAGAAAGTACTTTTCTAATGGTTGAGTAGTAAGTTCGAATTCAAATGCAGTATCTACTAAGTAGTAGTCAATTTCAGATGCAGCCAATGCCGTTTTAACTAAACACACCTGATTCCGGTCATCAGCTCATTAGCAAAGACTGAAAGACCTGTAATGAGTGTGACACAAAGACATCCAAAACATGCAATGTTGGCAACCCAGGCTCCTTCTGAAAATTTACCCCAACCGCTGAGGCCGCTTTCAACTGACAGACTGACCCCCAGAACTGGTCCCCCACCCACCCCCTTTCCTTAACCCAACCGATAGTGTTATAAAAAGCAATGATTGACCAGCGTCCACCCACTTCCTTTAACTCAACCGACAGTATTTTGAAAAGCAATCCAGAAAAACAAAAGCCGCCTGATTTTTACCACATTTTCAGATTTGACCACTTTCTCACTCTGTTATTTACTTGTTTATTTAATTCTTTTGGCTATTGTTTTTTTTTTTTTTGTTTTACCTGCTTTCTTGAACCGCTCTTAACCAGACTCGAACCTCGGCTTCGCAATCAACTCCTCTCTGTGTCTCAAGTCCGCTGCAAGTCACTGGACAAACTGGTTACAGTGGAAAGTGGTCAGCTGCTAGTGTGAAAAGTTATGAAGCCATACCACCAGGGCTGGAGTGGGACTCCTTTTCAACCCTGGAGTTTCAAGCCTCAGATCGGCCCACCTCAGTTTACGACTGACTATATTAAAATAAGGTAATTTCCAATTCAGTTTCTAATTACACTATCACGTCTTTTTTTGAGAAAACAGCTGCTTTAGAACTTCAAATGTTTAACAACCCTAACAGTATTATATGCCTTAACAATAAATATGAAAAAAATTACCCAAACGAGGATCAAACCCGGGCCAGTGATGTCATAACCTAACGTGCTAACCACTAGACCACAACAGCTGTACATAGAAAGGTAACTCATCTGAGTTATATCATCATTAACCTGCAGGCTGCATCTTGCTCACAAGGCTGCGAGAAAATAGATAAAAAGAGCAGAGCTGCAGTAAAATAATGAATAAGAACACCGGTCAAGTAAATAAATAAATAAATGTGAAAAGTGTGACTGCTGAGAGCAACAGATTTTGGAGCTAGGGACACCGGCCCTCGCGGCCAAAAAACGGACCGGCCCACCGGGAATTCTCCCGGTCCTCCCGATTAGCCAATCCGGGCCTGCATACCACCCTGTAGCGTTTGTTTTAAAGACGAAATGCAGCCATACGTACTCCTGGCTACATAATTTGCGATCTCCAAAAATATATAGGGGTGCATTTTCAGAATGAGCCTATGTTGAATGTCGGTGGTCCTCCAGGAATGGGGTTGAGAAGCACTGTTTTAAACCACTTTAAATGTTGACTACTGCACTGACTATATCTTATGTCTATGTGTTACATTATCTCAAAATTGTAGTAACTTTTTAAAACAAAACTGCCAAGTTAACTTCCATTCTTCGTCACTCTACACTGAAACATAGTTAGAGCAAATTTGCAGTGAGTTTTATTTCCTTCAGGTTTGTCATTAGCGTTCGCTGTAGATGTACAAGTGTAGCAAATGCTGCGATTGCTTACAGGAGCTCCAGGAGGCCCTTCAGGTCCAGGGAAGCCAGTCTCTCCCACAGGCCCTCGTTCTCCCTGTGTGCAAAGACAAAGAGCCAAAATGGGACATCATCAGTCTCGCATCATCCTATTGCCAAACCCTGCCGTATGACTGACAGCTGCTAACAAGCAACAAAGCAAATCTCACCGGCTCTCCAGGGATCCCTGTCTCACCACGCGGTCCAGGCTTTCCCTATCAGTCACAGCAATGAGACGGAGAGACAGAGTTACACCTCAGAGTTACATCTCAAACCTGCTGTCTATCTATACCAGCTACCGCATGTACAGATTTCATCCAAAGATTTATGCTTAATATAAAACATTTATCTTGTGGTAGGCTACTGAACCAGCAGCTGCTTCAATGAACTGTAGCCTTCTGTTACTCTGCAGACGAGGACTGTTGAACATAGCACATACTGTATTTTACAGTGTATTCTCAATGCTATCTCACGGCAATTCATAATTTTTTGATTTAGTGGCTAATTCGTGTGAATTTGTGTGATCTCATTCATATAATTTAGTATGATTTGCTCTTACCCTAATGATTGTAAGGTGCCACACCTCCTTTTTAAAAATAATACATTTTCGTACGGCTAAACTTGTACGAATTAGCCATTCATCTGACAAAACATAAAATAGTTATGTTTCCTTGTGAAATCAGGCTGATATTATAGTATAATTATATTTTTAATAGCTGAAATGTGATGCAACGTATATTTGTAAAGCAAGCAAAGTTTTAGTTTTGATTTCAATCAATCTGCTTAGGACTAACATTTGTAAAAACTGCTTATTTCACTAAATATATATAAAAAAATTAAATAAATAACTGTGTGATTAATATACCAAAGAAACTTTTCTGATCCCCTATTTTGACCTAGTGCAATGTTTGTTTGCTTATCAAACAGACAATATGGTAGTATAGTTGTACTCCAAAACTAACAACCTGAAAATTAGGTAACACTTTAGTTTAAGTAACAACTCATACCCATTTATTACTAGCTTATTAACTGCCTTTTTTTTTTTTTTAAAGATATTGATAATTTATTAACACTTATAAAGTATGATCTTACTTTTCATACCTTAACACAACTGCTACCTTACTAACTATTAATAAGCAGCCAAATTAGTAGTTAATTGAGCTAAAAGTCTTAGTTGATTGTTTGTTATTAGCACAAATTGTACATTAAAATAAAGTGTGACTGGAAATGATTTTCATGTTATGGCTGATCAAAGACAAGTTTTTTTGATGATTTATTTACTACAGAACAAAGCTAGCACAGCTAGCAACAACTACACTACCAGTCAAAAGTTTGTTGTGACTTAAAAGATAAAATAATAATAATAATAATAATAATAATATATATATATATATATATATATATATATATATATATATATATATATATATATATATATATATATTATTCTGCTCATCAAGGCAGAGCTTATTAAATGTAAAAAAAAAATGTAATTGCTAAAATACCTATTTATTAAATATGTATTTTCTTTACATTTGTATGTAGTTTGAAATAAAATTTTTACTCCAGGCATTATTGCTTTTATTACTATTGCCATTGTTATTATAATTTTTTTTATTATTAATAATAGTAATAATAATAAATATTAGAGTGATTTCTGAAGGATTATTATTGAAATTATAAACTACCTTTGAGCAGTTATTTAATAGTGCAATAACATTTCACAATTTTACAATTTGTACTGTATTTTTGATTAAATAAATGCAGCCTTGGTTAACAGGATAAGCTTATTTTAAAACATTTAAAATCCTACTGTTTTGGGTTTAGCTCTGTTCATTCTTGCTGTAGAACATTCAAACCGTGCAATATTTTTAGTTCTATAAGCCGTATTTGTTTGCTGGAAATGTGGGTTCATGCTATGTTGGAAATATAACCTTCTTGGCTGCAGTTAGTGAAGTATGAAATATGCAGTGTTGGTAAATGTTTAAGTTAAGATCACAATAATCATCATTCAATAAACAAATATTGGGGTATTTAGGAATAAGCGCATCACAAACTTCTGATATAGTTTGAAAGACCAAACTTAAATTAAGCAATCATCAACTTTAAATGAATATAAAGTTACTGAACAACTAATTTAGAATTAGCAATTTAACAATGGAAACTTGGATCTAAATTTCTAAAGAAATGAAGCTTGCTAAATAAAGCTTTTCTAAATAAAATATAGAGAACATGATCTAGCATAATATTCAATAATGGTTAAAATACAGTATTTTACTTAATACATAGTAGAAATGTTTGAGTTCAGATAAAAGTTACCTTAATGTATGATGGTCTCCACCAGGTTTTTTTGTGATTAATTTAGAAATTGTGCTGAACAAAATACATCATGGATTTTCATTAGTCCACACAAACTTGTTTGTGATCAAAACACCATTAGTGTGAATATATTACTTTTATTTATAATCCATGGTTTCTTCCACAATCTAATAGTTTTGCTTCATAAAACCACAATAATACTAAAAACCATGGATACTAATTATGTTTTGCCTGTACTGTATATGTTTTTAATAGATTCTTTTCACTCTCAAAGTGCTGGTAGCAGTTGACTTGCATTATTTGAATCACAAAGGATAAACTAAAGACAAATAGTCACCTGCAGGGAAAGTAAACTAACAGCACAGTTTCATTTTCAGGTGAAATAAACCTTTGATAAAAAGAAAAGTCATGTGCAGGCAGAAGATATTGCAAGCCTTCTTCTGTGTATTGTGCCATTTATGTTTTTATTTTGTTTATTACAGTCATCTGAAAGAAGAAAAAAATGACAACAGAACAACTTACAACAGGACCATTAAGACCAGGTGGACCAGGAAGACCAGGATCACCCTGAAAAAGCACAGACATTCTCATGTAAGATGAATCTTCAATGCAAAACCGCCTGCATGAGAACATGTTGCAAAACACAATGATTGCTTTTCTTTCAGATCTCAGCACCAACTGTGCTTGACAAGTCCTTCAAAATCATTCTCTGAGTATCTGTATTTGTGTGCATGTGTGTGTGAGAGCCGCTTTCTTTCCTCCATATGCGCTCTGCTGGCTTTAGGAATTAATGAGCTGCTTTTAAGTTTTGGGCACAGCATGCAAATAAACAGCTTGAGATCAGGCAGCCTCGTGGCTGTTGTGGAGTCGGCGAGCGCACAAAATGCTGCGACTACATCTTGACAAGTCCTTTCTGGGAAGAGTGGGCGAGTTTGATGCCGCTCAAAGGAGGAAGCAGCTCTGGCAGACAGACGAAAGAGAGTCTCCATGCACCAGCGCTCTGATACGTGCCGGAGAAAACATTCAGAGAGACGATCTGGACGGCTCCATTTAATGAAGCCTATTATTTCTACCCTCGCTAGTGTTTTCGTATTCATGGTCTTTCTCCTGAATTCTCAAGTGCTTTGACTAAGCGCCGTGGTGAAATTAGAATACTAACAACTCTTGAATCAATTAGGAACAGTTTTGGGAGTAACCCATAACAAAAATAATGACGTTAGAGTAATAAATCACTTATTTTACTGTAACGCAGAAATGTAATGTCTTACTAATGCAATTTTATTAATATGATACGTTACAGTTGAATTAGGCAGAATCACTGGCTTTTAGAAAGATTGTCAGTAAAATCACAGTCAACAGTAGCATTGTAGCTGATATTATGGTTTAAACAGTATACGTTACATATAACTGGCTAATATTTATGTGTTTTAATGTGCTTTTATACATACAATACCTTTAGAACAAAAATTTGTTTAGTTTCTACCAATATCTAAATATAATTTAGCATCTTAATATACCATTTAACATGGCTAGTGGCTCTAGACTGTTGCAAATACACTTACCGGCCACTTTATTTCTAGTACTATATATACTAGTACGGGGTTGGACCCCCCTTTGCCTTCAAAACTGCCTTAATCCTTTGTAGCATAGATTCAACAAGGTACTTGTAATATTCCTCAGAGATTTTGCTCCATATTGGCATGATAGCATCATGCAGTTGCTGGAGATTTGTCAGCTGCACATCCATGATGCTAATCTCCCATTCGACCACATCCCAAAGTTGCTTTATTGGAGTGAGTTCTAGTGACTGTGGAGGCCATTTGAGTGCAGTGAAGTCATTGTCATGTTTTAGAATCCAGTGTGAGATGATTTGTGCTTTATGACATGGTGCATTATCCTACTGGAAGTAGCCATCAGAAGATGGGTACACATAAAGGGATGGATATGGTCAGCATCAATACTCAGGTAGGCTGGGGCGTTGATACAATGCTCGGTTGGTACTAATGGGCCCAAAATGTGCCAAGACAACATCCCCCAGACCATTACACCACCACCACCAGCCTGAGCCACTGATACAAGGCAGGGTGCAGGATCCATGCTTTCATGTTGTTGCAGGTGTACCTAATAAAGTGGCCGGTTAGTGTACATTAAATGCAAGCTTATACACGCATTAACTAGTCTTGAAATACCTTGTATCATTATCAGAAAGATTTTAGAATCCAGCTTCAAAAAGTGATGTATAAGTTGGGTAACATTAAAACTTAGATTGGTATTTATTTATACGTTATTTATAGGAGAGAAGATTTTTTTCAACACATTTCTAAACATAATAGTTTTAATAACCAATCTCTAATAACTGATTTATTTTATTTTTGCCATGATGACAGTAAATAATATTTGACTAGATATTTTTCAAGACACTTCTTTACAGCTAAAAGTGACCTTTTAAAGGCTTAACTAGGTTAATTAGGTTAACTAGCCAAGTTCTGGTAATTAGGCAAGTTATTGTCTAACGATGGTTTGTTCTGTAGAACAAAATATATCGGAAAAAAATATATAGCTTATATAGGCTAATAATTTTGACCTTAAAATGGTTTAAAACAAATTGAAAACTGCTTTTAATCTAGCGGAAATAAAACAAATAAGACTTTCTCCAGAAGAAAAAATATTACCAGACATACTGTGAAAATGTCCTTGCTCTGTCAAACACCATATGAGAAATATTTAAAAAAGGAAAAAAAATTAAAGATAAAATATTTTTTTGGACCTTGTTAAGTATAGAAGGGGTACACAATATTTTCAAACTCCTTTTGGATAAGCTGATGTCGATATGTTTATTTTGTTTATTTGTTTGTTAGTTTTTGAAAAGTGTCCATTTACAGATTAATTTAGTCAGGTTTAATAATTTTATTCCCCATAAATGTGATAAAAAAAATAAAATAAAATATAAATAAAAGATAAATAAATATAAAAAATCTGAATTGTGATTTTATGACCCTAATCAAGACTTTGTTTTAACATAAAACTACATTTTTTTGTCTCCTTTCATTTTTATTAGTGTAACAGTAGCACCTGAACAAATTTCGTAACGGGCAGGCACTAGGACCCAGCGAAAGGCTGCTTTGGGAGTGATATTGCAAAGAAAAAATATGAATAGAGAATATATTGAATAAAGCTTTGTTTGATTGGTGTCAGGCTGTTAGTCTGTAGTGCTACACAAGTGACTGTTTAAATTACGGAGGGATATTGTACACGTAAATATTCTGTACTCAAATTCACAGCTTTGAGTAAAAAGTCCAAATCAGTTTATCTAAATCACGGGTTAAAGTTCACCTCTGATTGCTGACCTGAAGTTACTAAGTCAGTATTTTGCTCTGTCACACCGGTGAGTTAGCCCCGCCTACATATTTACATGTCATGGTATACACATAATTAAAAAAGTATTACAGTTGACAATCTATACCATGGTAACAACATATACTATCATACAACTCAGTCATAATTCAGATACAGTAATATTCTAATATAATTACTTTTAAAGGACAGTAACTAGTAAAATACAATAAATAACATTTTTGAAGTAACTTGACTATGAATGTCTACCTATAACGAATGCTCCGTCAGTCAAACCTCACAGTCAAATGGTGAAGGCAGTGAGTGGAACGTCTGGTTGAGCTGTTGAAAGTTGTGTGTAATCTGGGACACTCAGATGGGGTGAGAGAGCATCCAGTGACACGATTCATTTAAACACGCTTACCTTAGCACCTGTCAGCCCCTCTAGTCCTGGTAATCCCATCAGTCCCGGCTCACCCTGGAATAAAAGAAACACATTCCAGCTCAGCACGGACACCTTCATGCATGAAGGTCTGTCCCTGTGTGTGTGTCAGAGTTGGGAGTCAATGTAAAAAGGGAAATATTGAAGCATTTTTTTCAGGAAAGCTCACAGGCTACTAGTAGTGGTTGGATGTTGTTATGAACCTGTTTACCAGTTATGATGCGTTGTTGTTGTCTAGATCACAAATGCATCTCTTTTGTACGTTCATCCACTTTTTCTAATTTAAATTTTTACTAATTTATATTTGAACATCGGAAAATGCTTAAATGACAGTGTTTTTGTTTGCCACAAAACTATGATGTGGATTTGTGTTTCTACTCTCAAAAAACTATGTTTGCTGTTTGTTAAAATAATTAAAAATAGGTGGAAAAACACAATTCTTCAGTTTTTTTAGGGACAACTTAATTGTTTTATGTTCAATCAACTTAAATTTGTAAAAACAAAGTTAACCTAGGCCCAATCTACTTCTTAAGCCTGATTTTTACTTTCGCCTAGTGCTGAATTATGCACCTCCACTAACTGCATGCGCACCACACAAAACAGACAAGGCTTTTGTACTTAACACGTTCACTGTTGTGATGTTCCTTAAAAAGACAGGGGGCGATCATACAAAACACACTGTAAAATCAGACGGATAAACATAGAAGTAGAACGTTTCTAGAATTAAGTCAAATCATTAATATCGTTCAAGATTTTTAAACTATTTATTTGATAAATAATTTTAATGATTATAAAGATTTTTATAATGATTCAGGATTTTTAAAAATGAACTTTAATGCATCACTTGCTTTTGTTCATATCTCCGACAGTTTTACCTAATAAAGTTTATTAAAATATTAACGACAACAGAACATGGGTTGCTCTACTATATTTTTATTATAGAAAGAATAAACCATTCTCACCAATAAAGTCCAAAAAAACAGGATATCACTACGTTGTAAACCGATTCAAATATTCTTTTACAGCTATCAGATTTTGATTTGATTCAATTTAAATTCAAAATGAATGGTGGAAAAATAATTTAATTAAGAAAGTTTAATTTCTGTAATTAAATAATCAGTTTTGGCTTTAATAAACATATCCCTCAGGGTTTTCCAAACTTTTGCCAAAACTTTCCTCCTTTCCCATGGCTGTTGCAATTTCTAGCCAACATGCATTGGTAATCTGGTTATCGCAATGATCACGCATGGGCAGATTATAAAGATGTCTGCACCTGTTTCAGACAAAATCTTTTCAAAGTGATTCATATTCAATTAAAATGAAATGCGGCGCCACATGAACTGTTCGCTCGAGTCTCAAATTTTATTTTCACAAAATATTTTGTGCACTCTGCCAGCTGAAATCATGCAGTGCACACTCAAAGAGAATCTCCGCAAACACAGTGATGACGAACTGGTGAAACTGTTGAGTATAAACAAGGCTTTAGCCCTTCCCCTTACCATTTTTCTATGTTCACATGAAGGGGTAGGGGTGTCGAAATTATCTTTAGCTTGAATGTGTATAGTGCTAAGGGGATGGGCTAGATACCCTAAGGGGTAGGAAAATTTCCTAGAATACACTATCTACAATGGTGGCATGGCTACACACGGAGGTCAGGAGATGCACAAATTAGTATTTTTTTTGTCATTATTAAGAATCTTTACAACAAACACGCACATGGTTTAATACATTCATGACCGTGTTTGTGTTTTACAGTCATGCTTTAAAAAAAGCTATAAAAAATGCTAAATTTGACTATCTATAATCCATAATAATAACTCCTGTAAAGCAGTTCTACAACATACTTTCACATCTGACACTTGAATACCCTGTCAGAAAAGTCTAGTGGTTGGGAATGACCTTTTTACAGTGTCTGGTATAATATTAACATTTTTTTCGTGTGTTTACATAGATGAACATGGCCAGTGTAAATGCACAGTATTTGCGATCTTATTGCCAAATTATATCGTGATGATAACATGATATATGCCTTCAGTGATTTCCTGTTCCTGATTTCCAATCGACTGATGTTATATATAGTAAGTAATCACGATGACATAATGATGTGTGCAGGTTGTAGTCTCATTTCTTAGGGGTAAAATGTGAAGCCCTTCCCCTTCTCACATTCTGTTTCAAGGGCCAAGGGGAAGGGGTACAAAAATAAAAATGGGATTGGGCCTTAATTCTTTCAAATCGATTGTGTGAAATCCGACATTTTCCACAGCGTACACTCAAAGCAATTATAATGCTGCTTGTTCAAACTACTAATTTAAAATGAGCTAAAACAACTAAATTATTTAAATTTCTTTAGGACAACTTAATTGTTTCATGTGTAAACCAATCTTTAAGAATTTGGACAGTAGGTATAAAGTCACTTATCATTTATGGCTGTTCAAATACATTTAAATGTGAGTATTTAACTACAAAAGCAAACCAGTCAAATGTTATTTTAAATATCTCCGGAAGGTCAAAACATTTTATAGCCCATATATATTTTTTTTTTTGATTTAGTGTTGTCCACTTGTGATCACAGAAACAAAACTTAAATACCAGGTTAATAACAGAAAATTAAAACTATGAATTGTTTGAGGAGAAATGATGACAATGTCAATTGATCAATGGACTGATTTCCATAGTTTGACCAAATAACTAATAATTACTTTCTATTATGCAACAAATGCTAGGTACAGAATGTGGCTATATTTTTATGGATATACATCTATATATATACATCATTTTATGTATGCATTGTGCAATTCACACACATATATGCCACATAAGTTCATTTTTAATGCTACCTTACACACATATTACCTTAAACATTAAGTAAACATCTGTAAATGATTTCCCCATATTTGGTTTGGACTAGGCGACGCAGTGGTGCAGTAAGTAGTGCTGTCGCATCACAGCAAGAAGGTTGCTGGTTCGAACCTCGGCTCAGTTGGTGTTTCTGTGTGGAGTTTGCATGTTCTCCCTGCGTTTGCGTGCTCCAGGTGCTCCGGTTTCCCCCACAGTCCAAAGACATGTGGTACAGGTGAATCTGGCAGGCTAAATTGTCAGTAGAGTGTGTGTGTGTGTGTGTGTGTGTGTGTTTCCCAGCGATGGATTGCGGCTGGAAGGGCATCCACTGCATAAAAACGTGCTGGATAAGTTGGTGGTTCATTCCGCTGTGGCCACCCCAGATTAATAAAGGGACTAAGCTGACAAGAAAATTAACGAATTAATGAATGGTTTGGACTACAAAGACTATTTTACAAAGCTTTCCCATCAAATTCATTGCACAAAACCCAAACTTGTAGGCCAAAGTAACTAATAGAGCAGGTAATGTGCTATTTCGTAAACTGCAAAAGGCATGCACAAGAAACACCTAATGCCATTTCTCCAGCCTGTCACTGATTATTTCAATTAAAAAGCACATATTTATCTTCATCCTGACAACTGCGTCACGTTAACTCTAATTCTGTCGCATTACCGTCCCGACAAAGCATTTATTTTCCTCCTTCCATTTTCATTCAGCCTGCCATGTTTATAAATCACACGTACTTTGTCGCAAACAGAGCAGCTCGTAATTCACCCATAGTGATTGGAAGCATGGAAGAAGTGCCGTATATTATGTTCGTCTCACGCCTCAGTCGCTATTGACGGGCAGTAGCGGGCACCGCGTTAACGGGCCCAGCCAGCGAGACGGATTGCGGCAGTAATTGTCACACGTGTAGATCGCCATGTATTACAGAGCACAGACCTACATGGGACCAGAAAGAGGATCGACTGGAGACAGATGGGGGCAATTCTAGCACCGTGCCAGAGACTGCTGGGACCATTTATTCAAATGTCAAATTAGCATGCCGCTGAAAAATGTTTGGGGAAAAAAAATAAATAAATAAAAAATATCTGAATTGCCCCCGTGAGAATAGAAAGTGCCAGCTTTTTTGGCTGCTGGAGTTGCATTGTTGCTATTGTAGGAGTCCCTCATTGACGTGTGTGTGTGTGTGTGTGTGTGTGTGTGTGTGTGTGTGTGTGTGTGTGTGGTTTTTGTTGGTTTGTGTGTATAACGCGTTCACAACATCTCCCACAGGCGGAGGAATATGCGGCGGAAATTTGATTTAGGCGCCATTCCTGATCATTCCTATTGTTGTTGCGAATGCTGTGTGACTAAACCGTCGCGCTCGGCTGCTCTCGGGTTACTTCTGAGCCAGGAGCTGTGATTAATGGAGACTGGCCAGAAAACCGGTGCTGGCCAGACCTGTTTCTCTCAATCCAGAGGAATAGAAGGGCATTCGATACAAATCACAGTCGGAGCAACACTCACCATCCTTCCTTCATCTCCTTTGGGTCCCTGGAAAAGAGAAAAGCTCAGAATTAGCCTGACCTTATTTGACTTGATTTCTATGTGGGCTATCAGTTAATCCAATCTGTGTAATTAGCTGGATGACATCGGGTTAGATTTGTTGTCAAATAGCAACGCAATTAAGTAACTGGCAAACAGAAGATGCTCAAGGGAACGGTTTCAACAGAACATAGCGAGGAGCTTCTGTAGCTTTTTGTAGAATGGAAAGATTCCAATTGAAGTTCTTCATAAAGGCAAAGATTATTCATGACAATGTTATCAGAGCTTTTGCATTTCAGGATTGTGAGTTTGAATTGGACTGTAATGTGTAACAGGAAGATTAGTTTCGACAACAATCACAGGAAAGGGAAATTTGCTTGGTTGAAATTCAAATTAAGAATGAACTGACACCACTTTTATTTTTGGAACTCATAAGCAAACCTGTGTTGTCAATGAATTTCACCATGTTATAAATACTTAAGAGAGAAACTGAAAGAGTATGAAGGAAGTTAAGAAAAGATGAACATGATGATGGTGTGGCGAAGGAGTGGGGCTGAGAGCCGTAGGAACGGAATGAGGCTGCTGCGTAAGTGGATACACCTGTGTGAGGAGCTGCCGTCCCTGTTATAAATAAAGTTTATAAAACTTAGTCGGTTCTCCGCCTCCTTCTCTGTGGCCAAAGGGCCGTAAACTTCATTACAGATGGGCTTTAAACATTTAGCAAATAGATATTTCCACTGCCATAACTATACATGAGGTGCAAAGACTTCATGAACTTCGCTCTAAGGATGAACTCTATTTGACAATTCCGCGATCACGCTTGAAATGTTGAGGTGATGGAGCTTTTTTTAGTAGCAGCTCCAAGCAGGGCTCCAGGATATCGGTCACACTTTACAATAAGGTTCATTAGTTAATGTTAGTAATAGTAATAGTAATGCATTTACTAACATGAGCAAACATTGAACAATACATTTACTACAGTAGTTACTCATCTTAATAAACGTTAGTTAATGAAAATACAGTAGTTCATTGTTACTTCATGTTAACTCATGGTGCATTAACTAATGTTAACAAGCATGGACTTGAATGTTAATAATGCATTATTTAATGTTCAATTATGATTAATAAATGCTGTACAAGTGTTGGTTATGATTAGTTCATGTTAGTAGATGCATTAACTAATGAACCTTATTGTAAAGTCTTACCGAAAAATCTAACAGTGCAATTTTTTTTTTATTCTGCGTTATATAATCTGATATGAATACAATTTCACAAGATGAGTTGAATAACTATTTAGAAGAAATCTAGATGAATTGCGATTCAAGAATTGATTAGGATGATTCTGTAGAGGAGTACATATGCATAAAATACAGGAAACAATCTAGAAGCATAGATACATAGATTCAATAAAGAACAAAAAAAATAATTAAATGAACTCTTATTATTTATGATTATATATAAACTCTGAGTTAAATTGTATTTAGGTATACATAAATTAAATAATCAAATGCAAATCGAAGCATGTGAGTGTTAAAAGTTATTGTAAGACAGCATATTTCCACTACGACGTTCCACTAACACATTACAGACAATATTGAAACAAATATTTAATCTCAGTTGTGATGTCATCGTTTTTCTAGTAAGAACCTCAAATGCTTTATTTCATATTCCTTTCACCTTAAATACGTAATTATCAATAATGGCTTTTGTTGTGCTCTACTGATACTTTCCCTAAATGAGGAGAGAGAGAGAGAGATACAGCCAGTTTAGTAAATGGGGATAACTAAGTGGCCATGGTAGGTAAGGGCTTACACTGCTCTTTACGAGAAGTGCAATGAGATGACCACAGAGAGTCAGGACCTCGGTTTAACATCTCATTCACCAATGGTGCTCACTGACAGTATAGTGTTACCATCACTAGGATCTATAGAAACCACCAGTTAAGCACCCCTGCTGGCCTCACTAACATCACTTCCAACAGCAACCTATTTGTCCCATGTGGTCTTTCATTCAGGTTCTAACCAGACATAGCTTAGTAGGCAACCAGTCTTAGGCAGCAGGGTGATATGGCTGGGACTTTAAATGCGACATGATATAGGTCCGTATACCCACTGCTGTACAGTGGGAGCCATGGGAACCAACCAGATTTCTTGCGGTGCAGGAATACATTTCTGAATGAAACGCGATAGCGGTCAGTAACTCTGTTGTAATTTGAACGGTAGCGGGCGATCTAACGATTTCGCATTTAGCCTACAATCCTTGCACAACCTACAGTTTTGTCTGTTATCTCTCTCTTTTGGTAGTACCCAATTTAAACGTGAGATTTTGGAGACCATATCTAAATTTAGCGGGAAAGGTCGGGTTGGGAGCAGGTGAACATAGACTAAATATACGGCGGGAGTGGTCGGGTGTGGAATAAAACCTTGCAGGAACGAGCCTAAAAAATTAGTCCTGCGCAGACCTCTACCACGTGACCATTGTTGTCAATGGAGGATGATGGAGCTCTTAGATTCGATTTAAAATATTTTATTTGTGTTCTGAAGATGAGTCTCTGGGGATTAGAATGGCATGACATGACAGTAAACACATTCAAGCAATTATAGTGATTACAAAATAGTGGTGATAATTGCATTAGTGTGTATCCCCTTTTCATTAGCACTGGTTATAAATTATCTTCCTAATATTTTTTTGATTTTAAAATATTTACAACATAACCTACTCAGAGAGAAAAATGGCAGATATTGATGTGTAATGCTAAATGAACATTAAGATGTCAATACTGTTATATTGCTGTAAAGTACAAGAGCCTTAAGAAGGTAGCTGCTTATGCAGACAGCACACAGCATGGGATGTGTACTAGAATCTGTATCTCTGTATCACAGCGGCATTAGACAAAAAAATAAACCCCAGAAAGATAAGAGACAAAATGAGCCACTTTATAAGTTGACAACCAAAACAGACTCCAATTTATCTCATTTCCTCCCCCCAAAAACAAGTCTGAATATTACATTTGAAAGCTAATTTTACCCTTTAGCACATCACTGAGCTAATACGCTTTTGCAACATCATTCTATCCCCCGAAACCACAAGCCTCTTGATTGTCAAAATGAAGTTTAAGTGAGCTTTGTCAGAGTGTGTTTAGTCTCCTGTCATCGCAGCGAGGCGTCACGTCCCACTTCTAACAGGTTCAGCTGAGGATAAACCAAAACAAAGCCCCCTGAGGGACTTGTAAGGAGCTCCTTGAGACTATTGTAGTGAAAACCGGAGGAGACTGTCCTCCTTCACACCTGCTGATAAGGGTTTAGCATTTTCCTGAGTTCTGGGCGGTCGGCTAAAAATGGCCCAGGAGGGAATACACTCTTGTTCTTCATGGAAAGAAAGGACACATTACATACAGAGCAGATAAGTGTGCGTGGCGCAGCGTTGATAAGCTAATCGGATGATTCTGCTTGAGCAGAACAGCACTTATATATATATTTATATACATTTCATTTTCCCTCCTGTTAAAGTGCTGCATTTCAATTAACCGTTTTTTTTTTTTTTATATACAAACAGTTACTTTGTTGACTATGCGTAATGGGTTTGTTTTGGCCTTCTTCCTTTGGGCTGCTGTCATTGTCTGAGTTTTAGATTTGTGTCTGTGTGGCCGTGATCCGCCCTTCACATCATCACACAGGATAAAACTTCAATTCAGCGGCAGACAGCAGCTAAAGCGAATACTGATTCTGGAATCAATGGCGCTTCTTTGTGTATTGACATTTAAACTTCATTAAAAGTGTCCCTGCGGTGGGTGAAGTTCAAAACAACTGTTTTATGTGGGATATCATTTAAAAAATGTAACACATACCGGAGGCCCTGGTGGTCCGGGTTGACCTCCGTTAGCTGCTCCGTTCTGCAAAAATTAACACAGGTTTTAAATATAGAGACAATAAATAAATGTCATCACATACTGGAAGTTTTGAATGACGTGACTTTACCTGAAGCTTATAGATACTGCTCATCCCGTTGCCCTCTGAATATGGAGCACCCTTAAACAAACAAAACAAAACAAACAAGGTTTTTAGGTGGTTGCACACTGGCTCAGGTCAAAATAAGGGCCTACTCACACTATGCCATCCGTACCGTGCCCAGGCCCGTTTCCCGGATCGTTTGAGAAGTGTGATTGTGCTGAATCGGGCTCAAGCAGGGTTCACTTGGCCGGCCCTGGCCCGGTTAGAAGAGATGTGCCTGAGCCCGGTTCACTTGGGCTTTGGCGGGGTACGCTTGTGTGTGAGTGCAAAATGCGCCAAAGCCCGAAACTGAAAGCGAGACGTGACTTTTAAGGGACTGTTTTATATAGATTTATTAATTATTACTGTTCAGGGAACGCAAACTGCCGTCGTTTATTAAAGACGCAAACTCCTCACTTCACGACAGCTGTGCGCCTTCAGCAGACCTCCTCATTCCTGCAGCACGAGGGCTTTATGATTGTTTATGAGCGCCAAAAGTGGCGGATCTGTACGGCGAAATATCTGACTGCGTGTCCCCGCATCCCTAAGGACTGTTTGGCGAAATATTTGACGGCATATCAAACGACTGAAACGATATAACTAGAGAAATCTCCACTGTGCTGCTGAGTGAGAGAGCGCTTCTCACTGAACAGCCCAGCAGCGATGACGTAAGCGTGCCGAAGCCCGTTTGTGGTGTGAGCGCCGGCCGTCGGGGGAGACGGGAGGGGGGACAAGCGTGCTTTGGCCAGGTTCGAGGCAACTATACCTAGTGTGAGTACGGCCTAAGCAACCTGAAGTTAATATGATGTTCTGTTGCACATCCTGATTTTGCCAAGCGCGATGTGATCCTGGATTAGCATCTATGTTGATCGTGGAACATCATTTTTGTTGGAAGATGTAATCCATACCTATTTCCTACCCCTAAGCCCAACCATAACTGTAAATATTCCCAAAATTCCAGAGGAGAAATAGTTGGATAACAATCATGTAAAAGTGTATAAACCTAACCTTATACCCCATAAACAGTAAACACATCCCTTAATTCTGATTGGCGGATTGGAAGGTTGTTTTAGGATCAACATAGATGTTAATAAATGATCATGTCCTACTTGGTAAAATCAGGTTAGGGCTGAAATGACAGCCTTAATTTCATAACCACGAAGCATACCATCCATCAATATTGACAAATTTAGGTTTGTTTTCAGTACTTCTTTATCTTCAAATCTAACAATTATTATTTTTTACAAAATTTGACATTTGGTCAATTTGAAGAAGATATGCATGACACATCTTAGGAACAGAACATCCTTAACCTAATTTCACCAAGTAGAACCTGTTCTTGGATTAACATCTATGTTGATCCTCGAATACCATTCCAATCAGAAAAACAGAATTAAGGGATATGTTTATTGTTTATGTATAGGCTTTCGGTTAAGTTTTTTGCATTTCTACATGATCTTTATCCAACTATTACCCCTTTAATTTTGGGAATAATTTACAGTTATGGCTGGGTTTAGGGGTAGGCAATAGGTGTGGATTACGTTTTACAATTAAAATGATGTTCTAGAATCAACATGCATGTTAATCCAGAATTGCATCGTACTTGACAAAATCAAGATGTGACTAAGAGACATATAAGAGACTCATTTACAGATATAACATACTGATATACAAGCAATTATTTTACATAATACACGTTGAGATATTTTTGTGCTTTTCATATTACTTTGTGCGTCTTTGACACTAACATATCATCTGACAAATTAATATTAAGAGTTTAAAATTAAAAGACTTACATGAATGGATGAATTTACACTACCTGACAAAAGTCTTGTAGCCTATCAAAGTTTTAGGAACAACAAATAATAACTCGACTTCTATTTGATTGTTTGGTATCAGAAGTGGCTTATATGAAAGACAAAGGCCAAATAATAAAATATGATGATGCCTTGATTTTTAATTATTTAATTAGGACAGTAAGGTCTATTTTTGCTTAGACAAAAGTCTTGCCACTTACCAGAAATAATGCACAGTATAGAACATAAAGTCATGGTTCAGTGGAAAAACAGTTAATTTTGTGTAAGACTCCCATGAATTTGGAGGACTGCATCCACACATCTCTGCAATGACTCTAATAACTTATTAATAAAGTCATCTGGAATGACAAAGGAAGCGTTCTTGCCGGACTCCCAGTGTTCATCAAGATTGTAGGGATACATCTTCAGTACCTCCTCCCTCTTACCACAGGCATGCTCAATAATGTTTATGTCTGGTGACTGGGCTGGCCAGTCCTGGAGAACCTTGACCTTCTTTGCTTTCAGAAACGAGAAATGAGGAGGCTGAAGTATGAGGAGCACTATCCTGCTGAATAATTTGCCATCTCCAGTGGTTTGTAATGTAATGGGCAGTACAAATGTCTCAATACCTCAGGTTGTTGATGTTGCCATCCACTGCAGATCTCTTGCACGCCCCTATACTGAATGTAACCCCAAACCAAAAGTTTTCACCAAACTTGACTGATTTCTGTGAGAATCGTGAGTCCATGTGGGTTACAATACGTCTTCTGCAGTATTTGTGATGATTGGGATGTGGTTCAACAGATAAATCATTGGAAAAATCTACCTATTGCCACTTTTCCAAATGATGAACTAGAAGTCATTATTTGTTGCTCTTACAACTGGGATTGACGACAAGACTTTTGTCAGGTAGTGTATTCAGCCTCGACTGCTAGAGTAACAGAGCCATGAGTTGTAAAGGCACCGCCCTCTTTTAAAAAAGGGGAGGGGACGATTACATGTACATTATATAAATAAATGTTGCTATGTCTCAAATGTCACCACAATGTGTCTGGGATATCTGAGACATAAGCTCCAGCTAAAAAGCATGGCTTTAAATATGTTAATTAGAGCATTACAAGCTTTATAACCTGTAATGTAGTGACGTTAAATTGTTCCTACTTTGTGCATGGTTAAAATGAGCTGTTATGGTAAAGACAATGGGTCAGACTTCAACAGAGTGTAAAAATCATGATGGTTTTGTGGGTCTCATCTATTAAATCTGATCTTTATTTTGTATTTTATATTGGATTCAAGTCAGGTGATTGGCTGGGCCATTCTACAGCTTGATGTTCTTTCTCTAAAAGCATTTAAAAGTTTCCTTGGCTGTGTTTTGGATCATTGTCTTGCTGAAATGTCCAGTCTGGTTTCATCTTCATCATCCTGATAATGTAGATGTAAGACTGAAGCAGCTAATATCAATTTACAATGACAAAGGGCAGAGGTTTGCAGAATAACTACTGCAAGATTTCAGCTGCTGTCTCGGGTTTTACTGCCGTTCTACACCTCCCTTTCTTCATGTGTTCAATACTTTTTTCTGGGTCATTTATTTTTTATTACACATAACTTCATTTGTAAACTAATTAGATTAGATTTTTGCTTGTTTACCTATTTGATTTTATTACCAATTTCCAGTGAAATTTTAAGTGAATGACACCTTTTCTGAGAAGAATGGTGATGTGTTAAATATTTATTTCCCACCTGTATTTATTGGTGTACATTTATATGTTTGTTGTTTGTTGTTAATAATACTTTTTCGTCATCTTAATATTTAGAGTCAACCATGAGGCTGTTTTTCCATAAATGATAAATACTGTTGCATTATCAAAAATTATAATAATAATAATAATAATAACAATAATAATAATAATGTTAACAATGTAATCTATGTGGCAACTGATGAAAAAACTTTGACTAATCCTGTTGAAAATAATATTTCCATACTTTCTTAGCACAGAAAATGCACTCTTTAAACTTCCACATCTTTAGATTTCGCACAAAGTCATCAAAACATTTGCAATGAGCACCAGAACTTACAGGGGGTCCAGGAGGTCCGGGTTGGCCCGGTGGTCCTTCGCTGCCCTGGTACAAAAAAAAAAAGACATCTTGTTTTTTACATGCATAACACAAACTTTTCCTCTCAGAGTATGTTATTGCACCGAGAGTTAGGGCCGATGTTAGCAAATGGTGTGAATAATAACAGCTTTCAGATAAAACTTTTTTGTAAGTTTCGAGGACACGCTCATTGCCCCCTGGTTTTACTGGGTTGCCTTTCAGCGGAATTGACCAGCTGATGAAAACCAATGAAAAATGCCTCTATTCCCTTTCTGGTGTATATCTGCAACACCGCAGGGTGCACCGCAAGCTCATCCAACACAGAGCGGCATATTCACTATCTCCAGCCAACTGTTTGTGAGAGAATTACTCCAGTCATTTATCAGACAGTGCGTGTAACTCATACTGATGAAGATGGGTCAGACAACTTTACTGTTATGGAAAGTGAGAGAAAAATATCAGACTCATATTTAGTCATTTTTGTACTCTTTTGTAGAATATTCCAAATATGTAAAATGATAAAGATGTTTTCTATCCAATCATGTGGCCTCAGAAGACTGATAGTGTGAATAGACCACTTTTATGGGAGTTTCATAGGATTTTAAAGCATTAAAATGGCTCATCTTAGTTTGTTATGACAAATTTGTAAATAATGACAGCAAGACCCAACAAAAGTGTTTTATTTTAAAGAAATATTCATTGAAAACGTAAAAGGCTGTCATTATGTGCTGTCGTAAAGTTCAGGAGAACACAAAATGACTATTTTATGCAAAAAAATGCCACCAGAAATGAAAAGTCATCACAAAATATTTGAGTTATTATTTATATATATATATATACACACACATTTTTTTGTGTTGCACCATAAGATGATAAAACTACTGCAATATCTACTCTATCTTTAAAATATGATTTTCATTTTAAATACCCTTTACGGTATTTTAAATGATTAAATCAGAAATTATCACTTAATTATACTTACTCGATCACCCTTTTGTCCTTGGGGCCCAACAGCTCCTGGTCTGCCATTCATTCCCTGGATTCAGAGGAATATGCATGAGGCATAATTTTGTTTAGAGACAAAACTAGTAATAAAAAGATTATTATTTAGCTAAACCAAATGACCACAAGGCCTTACTTGTGAACCTGTGCGGCCTGTAGATCCAGGCAATCCTGGCACACCCGGAGACCCCTGGAAATATACATTTTTGATTACTACTGTAAAACTCACATTTATTGAAACCATGTCCTGTTTTTGGTTAATTAAGATGTCATTGGATAAGTGCTGCATTCATATTTAGGTTGAACCACACTAGAGTTAATGTAGAAGTGGATTGAATTGCCTCTTTTAATCAATTTTAGTTAATTTGTATGGTACAAAGCAAAGTTCAGATGGTAGTGTTCACATTTATTCAGATAAACTGCTCCAACAAAGGTGGCACAGTGGCTTAATGGGTAGTACTGTCGCCTCGCAGCAAGAAGGTTGCTGATTTGAGTCCCGACTGGGTCAATTGGCATTTCTGTGTGGAGTTCTCCCTGTGTTCGCGTGGGTTTCCTCCAAGTCCTCCGGTTTCCCTCACAGTCCAAAGACATGCCGTATAAGTGACTTGGATGAACTAAATTGGCAGTAGTGTATGAGTGTGTGTGCGCGAGTGTATTGGTTTTTCCAAGTACTGCATTGCAGCTGGAAGGGCATCCGCTGCATAAAACACAAGCTGGAATAGTTGCCGGTTCATTCCGCTGTGGCGACGTCTGATAAATAAGGCACTAAGCTGAATGAAAATGAATGAACTGCTCTAACAAAGCAATCACACCGTTAAATACACATACGAGATAGATAAAAAAATATAAACTCCAAATAGTAAGATTCCTTCAGCTGTCAAACTACATTAAGTTACACAAATACTGTAAATACAGTGTTATTCTCATAACTCACCTCATCACCCTTGTCCCCCATTGGACCAGGAAAGCCTCTCTCGCCCTTCACTCCCTGTAAGATAGATGAACAATCATCGAGACAAGAAGTACACACTTTTGATTTAGATTCTCTCTAAAGATTGCTCTCATACATTATTAATCTTTTATCCTTTGGCCTCAGTTCTTTCTCACATTCAGACACCGTACTGCTTGTAAAGCATTTGTTATCGCTTTAACTGTAGCACCAGCAAGTAATATACAGTTGAAGTCAAAATTATTAGCCCTCCTGTGAATGTCTTTTTTCCCAAATATTTCCCAAATGATGTTTAACGGAGCAATTTTTTAAATATATTTTTATAATTTTTTTAATATATATTTTTTTCTCTGTAGGAAGTCTTATTTGTTTTATTTAGGCTAGAATAAAAGCAGTTTTTAATTTGTTTTAAAAAATATTATTAGCCTCCTTAAGCAATATATTTTTTCTATTGTCTACAGTGTAATTCAGTGTTACATAACGACTTGCCTAATTACCCTAACTTTACTAGTTAACCTAATTAACCTAGTTAAGCCTTCAAATATCACTTTAAGCTGAATACTAGTATCTTGAAAAATATCTAGTAAAATGTTGTCCTGTTATCATGGCAAAGATAAAAGAAATCAGTCATTAGAAATGAGTTATTATAACTATCATGTTTAGAAATGTGTCAAAAAAATAATTCCGTTAAACAGAAATTGGGGGAAAATACACAAGGGTGCTAATAATTCTGACTTCAACTATTTGCCTCATTTCAAAGAAAGAAATGTAAGTGATTGTACTTCCAAGAAGTCTGTGGATATATGTGGGGCTCTTGTGTCAGCCGATCACAAGAGTCTCTTTTGTAATCTTCGATTTAGGGCAGCTTACCTTCGGACCCTCTTTTCCAGGATTTCCAGCTGGGCCTCGCAGACCCTGATCCCCCTGTCAAAGCCAGCACAGTAGTTAAGGAGCTAAATCCACACAACAGACACGGGAATACTGTGTGCAGCAGCCCAAGAAACACTTAGGCCACATTTACTTCATAAATGATATCCCTTTGGCTGTATTTTAAAAAGTTATTAGTTATAGTTACTTGTCATAAATAGTAAATGAGTTAGTAATTGAATTGCATCGTTATAAAAGTAACTAATTATCAAGGAAAGTAACTTTTGTGTTTATTATATAGACTATTGTTATAAAACATTGTACACTATACTATAATGCCACTGTAGGACGAAGTGAGAGACACCTATCAAATTGAATATTTTACTGTAAATATTCTATAGTGGGGAGACGCAGTGGCACAATAGGTAGTGCTGTCGCCTCACAGCAAGAAGGTCGCTGGTTCGAGCCTCGACTGGGTCAGTTGGCGTCCCTGCGTTCGTGTGGGTTTCCTCCGGGTGCTCCAGTTTCCCCCACAGTCCAAAGACATGTGGTACAGGTGAATTGGGTAAGATAAAATTGTCCGTAGTGTATGAATGTGAATGAGTGACAGACAGACAGACAGACAGACAGACAGACAGACAGACAGACAGACAGACAGACAGACAGACAGACAGACAGACAGACAGACAGACAGACAGACAGACAGACAGACAGACAGACAGACAGACAGACAGACAGACAGACAGATAGATAGATAGATAGATAGATAGATAGATAGATAGATAGATAGATAGATAGATAGATAGATAGATAGATAGATAGATAGATAGATAGATAGATGTGTGATAGATGTGTGATAGATAGTATGTGTTCAGAAATGGAGGAGTTTAGAGAGGCTGAATGTGTGAACAAACCATATGAGATATAGTGATAAATGATGTGTGTATTCAGTGTGTATTATAACAAAATGAAAGTGTTTTTGACCTTGGATAGATATAAAGCTATTGCAATGAGCCTTCCAGAACCAAATCAGAAACTTATAAACTAGCATAACGGGACACTTTATGTTCTTATAATTGTATTTCAGAAAAGTTCTGAGACCAATTCTAGCATCAGCAGAATTAGATTTAATACAATGATACACTTCTTTTTAGAATTATGCGATACTTATAAGCTTCACAAAAAGTATATCTTAACAACACTGCATTTCAAACAACTGGACTGGAATATATATAATATATATATATTGCATCAGCCAGAAAAGATGACAGCACTGAACACTACATGATCTCAGGTGGCGGCAAGGCTTATGAATTAGTGAGGAGATTAAATGTGCATTCCAGCCATTTTTACCTTTTCTCCATCCATTCCTGGGATACCTGACGCTCCAGGGGAACCTTTTTCTCCTTTCTGCCCTGGTAACCCTGGGACTCTGGTCTGACACACACTGCAGGCGTTCTGCCAAAATCACACACACAATGTAAGATGCAGAAAACCCGCTTTCTCTCCTTTCATCTCTCCTGTTCGGAGGAGCTCAGGATGCTGAATGTTGTATGAAGTCCACATATTTAGAAAAGACCTGTTATGAGCCTGTTATTCAATGGCACAGATGAAATGAAACCCTTTTTATATGCTTAAAATGTTGCATGTTAAAGTTGTAAATGCAACATAATTACAATCACACTGCAAAAAGCAAGTAGTTGACTCAAAAAGTGATTAGACCTTTTACTTTTAAAATTTCAAGTAAATGAAAGTGCATATTTACTGTATTAAATTTAAGTCAAGTCCAGCTAGTCTACTAATTTAGTTAAGTAAAGTCAACATATTGCTTTTCAGACAATAGTTTATTTACGTTTTGAGTAAATTAATTGCCAATATGAAAAAAAAAAAGTTAATTACTGTACTAACTAGCCATAATGCATTGAAATGAAGCATTTTCTTAAAATTATTAGATATGCAGTATACAGCGGTGGCTATAGGTAGAAAACAACCTCAAGTCATCACTGTTAATAACAGTAAAAGAACAGTTTTTAATCATATTTCAAGAGTTATATGTACCTGTGTGTGCGTGTGTGTATTATATAGATTTTTAAATACCTGTAAATTCCTTAATTATCCTATTTTGATTCTGACTAGTGCTATTTCTATGAGCAGTCATAAATGAATAAAAGTCATACATTAAGAGAATTAACTTTTCATTTCTCCTATAGGACAGCTGTAGTAAAATATGGCACAGTTTACCACACATTTGCTGCAGAAAGACTCTAAAAACACTCCAGTGTCCTTATATGCGCTGCACACATTCATCAGCTACTGTAGGAGTGACCTTTATTGCATAATCAGTGTAAGATTCATGTCTGGCCATCTGGATATATGCTTTTACCAGCTTTCAGAGACACATATGGCTCGGCAATTGAGCTTTGCACATTACTAAAAAAGCTAAAGGTCAGACCCGAAGATACAAACAACTTGATAAAATGCATGCATTAGGGAAGTAGACACTTTTTCCCCTCAAAGCCTTTTTTCCTGGATTTAACCTTGCTAGCCTGATGCATACACCTCAACACATTTGCCCAATGATATAGAAAGAAACAGGAAAAGCAATAGCGAAGGTGCTTTCAAAAGCTGTTTTGAGACTCTTGGGCTTCTTTTCTTTAAGAGTGCAACTGTATACATGTGAACTGTAATCAAAGGTTTACTGTAATGGGTCGCAGGGATTGCATTGACATTTCACATTGGATGCACTTTTGGCGCACGATGTCTCTGCGAAGGTAGCAATTTACTGGTGCATTAGTCCGACACGCTCAATAAGTGCAGGACGATTCAGGAAGAGCATTTATATTTGTGTTCTTTGTGCAAGACTGACAATTAGCAAATTGCATGTGACTGGTACAGGAGGGGATGTTTAACATTAGAGCAGGAAAGGGGAAAAGTGCACATTTAGAAATTCAAAATGGTTTCGATCGGGGGAACAAAGACTTGCTGAGTGCTTTGGCATTTTTGAATTTTGCTGTAAAAGAGTGCATCAGAGCATCATTGAACAGATAGCATCAATTAATTTGAATTCATTCAGACCAACCATTAAAATTGTGTTTGATGTTGGATTAAAATTGTAAAATAAACTTAAAAAATGTTCCCTCTCAAACTAATTATCCTGTTTTCCCCCCATCAAATCATACAGTTTTTCTAAACTCATTCAATAACTTTATATGACACTGTAAAAATGTAATGATCAATTAGTCCTGACAGCTTATGTTTATATGTCATTGTAAATTATTAAACTGAGTTAATCGTGTTCTAACTTAATTCTATAAGTTATGCAAGCAGTTTTAAGTCAGTTTAACCTAATATAAGTTCAATTGACTCATAAGGTTGATTTGATTCAACTTAAAAAAAATTAAGGCAACAAGGATTTTTGATTATTTGACTATTCAAATCATCCACTTTTTTGATATATGTTCAGCATAATAACTTCTGTTTTCATTATAACATGATCCTTCAGAAATCATACTAATATGATGATTTGCTGCTTAACAATTATTAATATCAATGCTAAAAAGTATATATGCAAGTACAGTATTTATTCAGGATTCTTTACTAAACAAAGTTCAAAAGGTTAGCATTTATTAGTTTTTTTGTTTCTCTGTGGTTGAGACACTGCTTGTCCGTTTATTTATGCTTTTGAATTGTATTATAGAACCCTGATCTTTATTCCACAACTTTTAACCTTTAAAAGTTCAAAAAGTGGCTTTTGTAGACCATTTTGAGGGATGTAAACAAAAATAACAGTCCCAACGTATTTCCTGTTTTACATTTTTAATTTCTATAGCTTACGAGAATCCAAAAAGAGCCACATATTGATTAAATATTTTTTGATAGCTGTTTTAACATGATGTTATGATTGAATTACTTCTTGCCACAGTTATGAAATAGTTTGATAACAAGCAGGAAATGTTTATGGGCCAATGACATGACCACATTGAAATGGTCTATTAACATTTTTAATAGTTTACAGTGTATAGTACAGCCTGCACATTTTGTTATTTTACAGGCTTATAATCTATTTTATATATTTATATATACATTATTTCTTATATATATATATATATATATATATATATATATATATATATATATATATATATATATATATATATATATATAATTTTTTATTCATTATATTATTTCAAACTACTAAAATGTCACTTTGTAAAACTGTATAGTTAATTGTCAAAATTAAAAGTCAACAGCGGAGATCAAGGTCCAATAATGCATTTCACAAACATAAACAATTGGAAAACACTTGTGAATTACAGAATATGGAAGCAGATATTAATTAACAGATGTTTTTACAGTGTAGAGGGTAGGTTCTACACATGTAGTGGTTAAAACAAAAATCTATTTGCCAAACTAGGCTCATTGGAGACGTGCCTCAGCCTAAAATTGTGCAAAAACACATTGTTCCGGGTACGTTCGTTAAGTACATAGGTCGTTAATACGTTAGATTTAGGTCAAGATGTCAGCTGACCAAAATTCAATGTCTAACCAGCGTCTAAGGACAACGTTATTTTGACATCCAATAACAGCATCAAAATACGTTGCTATTTGGTTGATTTTAGTTTGAGTTAGAAAGTGACCAAAATTCAACATCTGATACTGTAGATGTCAGAGTGGTAACATCCACACAGCGTCAAGGTGTAACATAATTACACGTTGATATTTGGTAAATTATAGGTTAGATATTAGACATTGACGTCAGCCTGATATTGGGTTCTGACTCCAAACCAATGTTCATTTCCAAACAAAATCCAGTGTCCCCACAACGTTGGGGTACAATGTTGATATGAAGTCATGTTAACATCCTGTGCCTGCAGATTTATGTTACACATTTCAGATGACAAATCCACTAGAGGGCATTACTTTATTGTTGAATCTGAAATACATTATTTAGGGTGAGATTTGTTATGTATTTCAAATAACTAACCTAACCCTTATCACAACCACCTTCTCGTACACATTCACAAGAAGGTGGTGCTTGTTCAGTCCAAATCACCTAGCAAACCACTGAGCTAAACTGTTCCCCAAACTTAATCAGTAGTGTTTTCAAATACAAACAATAGAAAAGTGCATGTAGTTTACCTTGATTTTGCATTGCTTTTATCTCTTTTGTGAAACTGTGCTGCTTCTGGGATCTCATCAGTTATTCATACAGTTATTCAGAACAGTTATTCATACGGAGGTAGATTAGTGAGCCAAACAGATTCATCAATAATACAACCCTATTACTGGATTAATGTAAAAAGAAACAAAAGTTGTCATCATACTGCCCCGGTTGTATTCATTTTACCTAGAAACTCAAGTCAAACTTTTGCTCAAGTAAGTTTTTTTTGCGGCTTCAAAAAATTTAGACAGATGTACACATTTTCAATTAGTTTGTGTTGGCATTTGGTCTGTATGCCATGTACCATTACATCTAATGTACAATGAAAAAAAAAAGATTATTCTTTGTAAGGTAAGTAGTTGCAATCAATGTATATGGGCTGAATTTAAACAAAATAAATTTAGTAATGTTCAACTTAATTTGTTTGTTTAAATTCAGCCTATATTAATAGTTTGCAACCACTTAAAACATAAATCCAATAAATCTTTTTTCAGTATACATAGCATGACAATAAGTTTGCTTGCTCATTTGACATTGAAGTACTGTATGTTTTGACACATTCCTCTTCTCTGTGTACGAAGGCATATAAAATCCAGATGAACTCATTACAGAGCATTAGCTACCCTAAATAGCTGTTGTTGTGTCTGACAGTTCACTCCTCAGAATCTCACCGCATCAGTAGTATTTGAGCAAATGGCCGTTTATCTTGTCAGGCGCTCCTTTGGTTGCAAAGATACGAATACAAGATGCCCAAACAGAGACACGAAGAGTGGTGGAAGAGGAAGACAGAACAGAAAGTACTTACAAGCCTGAATTAAAAGAAGAGCGAGGAGTGAGAGATGAAAGGAAGTTTCTTTTTCTAAGTGCTGAATATACATGAATGCAAGGAGTTTCAAAGAGAGCAATAGATCACACAATGAAATAATTCATAACGCAGCCCTTAAAAAGTTCGATTTCCGATATAAAAATTGGCTTTATATTCCCTCTGGCTACAGTCTGTCATTTGTGTCTTGTTACGGAAGTATTTTGGAGGAAAGGCAGAGTCTCTGAAAAGAAAGTTTCACAGAGGAAGAAAAAAAAAACAGATGCTTGCTCAAGGTAACAAAGGGTTAGATCTGTCTTAAGATCCACGCTCGATCTGACTGAAGGGAACAGAGTTTTAAATACACTTTTTGTGGTTTGAAATGTCAGGTTTCAAAGACAACAAAAGTCTTGCTGACATGAAAGGAAACTTTTTTGGTGCATGTGACCTAACTGTAAACTCAACATTTTATTTATTTATTTAAGCGCTTATCATTACAATTTCATACTTTCTAATGTTCTTCATCAACTAAACTGCGGTAGACGTAAATGCCCAGAGGGGGAAGATAGATGAATAAACTGTACCTTCATTAATGTCCCCATGTCTCCAACCATTGGTAGTGCTGTCTGAAAAAGGAATTGCAATTAAAAAAAGCATTAGATAAAGCATTAGATGAAATGCAATGCAAACAGAAGTAGAGGTGCAACTGATCACAACCCACATAGCAACATTTCTCCGGCGCAGCTCTGGGCCATACAACCTGCTTTTGCTTGGCCGACTTGCTGCAGTAAATTACAGGACATGACTGGACCAAGTCTGGCTTCCAGGCAATAGCCAAACATGGACCATATCTGGGTCAAGTGTCAGCCAAGTAACCTATAACTGGACCTGAACTGGATCAGATAGGGCCAATCTGGTTTGTCACGATTGCAATGAAATTGATAAACCCATGAAGCATTGCGCTTTAGGCAGACTATGGGCATGTTTTTCTCAAAGTGAGCTGATTGGTAGAATTTTTTTTTTCTTTACCTTAATAATTTTAATGTATTTTAGATGTGGATCAAGATAGGCCAAACTTTCGTGGCCAACGTATCAATTTTAAACATTTGGGCCAAATACTACACCGGGCATAAATCTTGTGTGCTGCCTTAAAGGCTGTGCCAACTCTGCCAAGCCCGGGCCATGATTGGCCCACATGCTGTATGCCAGCATTACCAGCTTTATGCCAAATCTGGGCCAGAATTCTTTCCTACCAGGGAAGACTCACATTTCGGATATTTGAGTCACGGATAGGATTATTTACAGAAACACTTCATCTGAATTTCAAACATCATTAAAGACAAGCAAACAGTCAGTATTAAAATAATATTAGCAGGTAAATGTAATAATTAAAAATGAAAAATCAACACTGTGTAGTTTCAATATTTCAAAATGCATATTATAGATCCAGTGATTTTTTTTTTGGGGTGGCAATTTTAATAATATCTGTGGCCCCTTTATACTTTTTAATGGATGGATAGAACATAATGTTACGTTTGAGTTTTCTTTCTCAGCTGTTTTGACATATTAGTGACAAATAAGTGTTTTTCTATTCAGAAAGGGGTAAAAAGAATGAGACTGCTCTCAGATTGCATGAGATTATTGTCATCTCTTGAGTGTAAATACGTTAAATTGCTTAGATCTTTATTGATGATACAGACGATGACTTTGCAATTAATAAACAGATCGCATGCATCCTGAACTATGATCTGTACAGCCTGATCTCACGAGGAAAGGTAACTCTTTTACGTTTTGTCAGTTTAGTGGCTAATTCATATAAACTCATATAAAGTTCAGTCGTACAAACAAATTAAGCTAGATAAGCAAATCATGCTAAATTGGATGAATGAGATGAATTTATACGAATTAGCCACTACATCAAAAAGTTATGAATTATTGTGAGATGTGGTTGGAAACTTTACATCCTTCTCATGGAGTGTGAAACCAATGTTGTACATTATTTTCATTAGTGGAGGATACATGAAGTAGTTGTATATTACCTAAAATAAGTATGTCATTAAAAATGCTTTACGAACCGGTTCTCCGGGAGGTCCAGGGAGTCCTGGTCTTCCTTGTGGGCCTGGAGGTCCCTTTCAGAAAACAAATACATAAACAGATATAAGATATTTCTTAAATATAATTCTATAGTATCTAAAATACAATTCATTATTATCAATTTCTTGATATTTATTTTTATTAGTATTTGAAATATACACACTATTATAGGCTCAATTCCATGCAGATAAATATAAAAAAAACACTTCTTACCTCAATTCCTGGTACTCCAATGGGTCCTTGAGGTCCCAGAGGACCCTATGTAAATAACATGTAAATTTACTTTCTTCAACACATTTAACAAAATTAAAATTTTTACTTATTCCTATATATAATATTGCTGTGTAACTATATTATGCACAATGGCATTTAAATGATGTGCTTGGTCTATTTATTGTATTGTATTGCACATTAAAATATATTTTTGATGCTTGTTCAAACTACTTATTTAAAATGAGCTGAAAACTAAATTCTTAAGATTTTTTTTTTGGGACAACTTCATAGATTTATGTTCAGTCTACTTAGATTTGTTGACTTAACTGATTTGTGTTGGATCAACATAAATTAATTGCATGGAAAGAAGCATTGTTTACAAGGTGTATTGTATTGTATTGTATTGTATTAATCCTTTACCTGACTTCCTGGTTCTCCTTTAGGTCCTGTCAGACCCTATAGAAAAAAAAATATAACAATAAAAGTACTGCCTGATATGCATTTATTAAAATTCCAAAACCTGAATCTACTTGAGATGCTTCTTTACAATGTGAACTCTGTGGTTGTCTGTGGGAACAGTGCTGTATGTGGGATGCAGAATCATGATAAAACAGACTGCACTATGTATTTCTGGTGAAAAGTTAACTTTTCCTGGAGTTCAGCCCAAACTATTGCATAATTAAATCATCGTTTACTTCTTCCTTTCTGTAAGCATTTAAGTCATTCCAAACTGGTATCACTCTGTCATACAGAATAAAACCGCTGTCAAGCTTCAAGTTGTTCACTTGGCTTGTAAACTATATTCCAAGTCTTTTGAAGCCTACCATATTTGCGTGCCTGGAACAGCCTGAAATTTCAGGTTATTTCCTGTTGTGTGCCACAAAAGAAAGTCTGAGAGTGAGTAAACTATGACAGAACCATCTTTTTTTGGGTGAACTTTCCCCTTCAACGGGGTCCTATTGTGCTTTTTTCATTTTCTTCTTCCTTTAATGTATAACGTTGCTGTTTGAGTATGAAAAAGAGCTAAATTAACAAATGAACATCCAAGAAAGTTATTCCCTGTACCAGAAAGCATAGTTTCTGAACTGAGCTTTCTTCCAGGAATGTACACATCACAATATCACACATTTGAATAAGTTTAAAGGGGGCAGAGACTGGATGAGTTGCATTAGTAGTGTGTTGTCTACAAGTCCAAGGCATTCTGATTCATGAATCTAATATACTGATTCACATACACTTTTTACATTTATGTGCATGTGCAAGCTGTAATGGCTCCACCTTATTCTGGAAAGTGGGCGGGGTGAGGGATTTTGATTTAAACTAACACACACATAACTGAGGGCTCTATTTTACTGGTCTAGGTGCAAAGTCTAAATAGCATGGCGCAAAAGCATTAAGAGCGTGTCCCAAATCACTTTTGCTATTTTAAGGATGGAAAAAAATGCTCTGTGCTTATTCTCTTAATGAGTTATGGGTGTGTTTTGAGCATAATATGCATTAAACCAATTAGAGTCTCATCTCCCATTCCCTTTTAGAGTCAGTTGCGTTGCTCCATGGCACATTTGCTGTTTACATGGTGGACTTTGTAAGTGGAAAAACTGAATGCTTCACTAGTGATAAACAGAGCATCTGTGTGAGGATAAAAAACAAACCTCCTCCATTCGGCCTCTTTACTTTCTCTTTACTTTACTTTTACTCTTTACTTTAATCCTTTACATTTGTGGATAAAGAAATAGTGTTGTACACCCTACTCTAAAGATATCCATTAGCCTTCATATTTAATTTAGTTTTTTAAGCGCAAAGATTTGTTTCAAAACTATTTCTAAATTCAGTTTTAAATTCCAGCAAATGAAAAAATAAACGTGTGGTCAAAATACTGAGTAATATCCAAACACACGTCCTATTCTTATGCTCTATTTGGTGATGTAGACGTCTGTAAAACCCGACAGATGGACAAATTTAAACTTTTATTTGTTATTAAAACAAATACTACTACTACTACTAATAATAATAACATTATAATAAAAATGCAAATTGTAATGAATAAACTGAAACAAGCCTCCCGGACATGAAGAAGGTATGGAGTGTTTTTTTATATCTATGTAGTAAATAATAACTTTGTAACATTTTAATCCTTTAGTTTTTTTTTTATATGTAAATATTTTTGTGTATTGCTACACACCTCCTTTATAGACCTGCACACTCATGATTCTGCAATGTAGCCAAATGGATTGGCTATTTAAACCACATGGCACAAAACGTTAAATTAGGGTTGCTCTGGTCTGAAAATAGCACCAAATTGGGCCAAACACATCTTGCGGCTTATTGCACTGGGTGTATGATAGAGCCCAACATGTGTTTTCAAAGTGTAATTTAAGATTGTTGACATGTTTTTAGCTGAAACTTTACAGAGACTTTCTAGACAAGGAAACAATCTTGGGAGTTTGCAAGGGACGTTGATGTTAAAATGCACAGACAGAATACTTACCGGAGGTCCAGTGATGCCAAAACCAGGTTCACCTTTCTCTCCAGCGTCTCCAGGCACTCCTGGTACACCTCGTTCACCCTGGCAGAGAGAAACCCGCAAAAAATTAATCCAGCCAAACTAAATTAACTCAGGGTTGAGCATCAAGCCCAAAACTCACAAAACACAGTCATCAAGTTTTGCCAGTTTATGCAATAAAGCTTGGCTGAATAATTACTGTGGTTTAAAATAAATTTGTTGCCATAGCAACATCACGAACATCATGTAGTAATATACTTAAAATTAAACCCTCAAAAACAGATGCTCACACAGCAGTAAAATAAGAGCTTTAACGAAGCGTTCTCCAGAAGCAAATCATTTATGACAGCATGTAACTGGCTTAAAGGAATGTTCAGGGTTCAATGAGAGTATTACCACAGGAAATTTCAACTTGTAACTCAGTTTGAACCTGTAAGTATGCTTTTTAAATTCTGTTTTGAACTCTAAAAATGAGTCAAACTGATTTTCTGTGGTAATCAGCAGCATGTCACAGATGAGTTTAGCTACTCGCAATGGATTTTGCACTATTAAAATGTAGACTTTAAGACATAATGAAGTACAGCACAGGTAAATATGATGCTCCTTTGCAGATAAACTTCACAAAACTGAACACTAAGGAGAAAAAACCTTTCTATAACCTACCTTAGGGCCCCGTAAACCTCGCAGACCAGATGCAACCTCCTCCTAGTGCACAGGAGAAAAAAAGGCCAACCCAATTAAATTTGAATGTATATTTCTTGGAAGTTATGTACTGTAAGATTCAGTTTAAGATAAATTAATACACAAACAAACAACCCACAAGTGGCGAACTGAGAAAATCAAATAGGAACAGTGGATAAATATTTTCCATACCGCCTAAAATAATTTTAACATGCCAGATAACTCACTGCTGAGAAAAAGCCCAAATTACATTCGTTCATTCATTTTCTTTTCGGCTTAGTCTCTATTATTAATCCAGGTTCGCCACAGTGGAATGAACCGCTGCCTTATCCAGCACATTTTATGCAGCGGATGCCCTTCCAGGCCAACCCATCACTGGGAAACACCCATACACACTTACTCAAACACATACACTACGGACAATTTAGCCTACCCAATTCACCAATACCACGTCTTTAGACTTGTGGGGGAAACCGGAGGCTAAATTACTTCAAATGAATAGCTTGTAGCTTGACAAGATACAACCTCAAAGCAGCTTCCGTTGCATCCCTAAATATTGCATGGTCTTGTTTTCCAAAGTTTGCTATAATTTACAAAAAATTTTAATTGTTTTTCTCAGTGTGATTTGCAAGAGATACTTTAGGAGCTGACAGTGTGAAAGACGTATAGTAAGCATTATTTGCTATATGCCACTGATGGAAAATTGATTTTTTTTTTTGCAGTCAGCAAGAATTAGATTAGCAAGTAGTTTTCGCATTGCAGGAGCAGCAACAGCAGGCAGGTAAATAGACATTTGGTATGCCATTAGGTCGAAATACATGATACGAAAGTAAATAAACACAACAAGAGTGAACTGAGTGGAAACTAGGGTGAAGATAATAAGGCTACTACTACCACTACTACCACTACCACCACTATTACCACCACTACCACTACTACTACTACTAATAATAATAGCAATAGTAATAATAAAAATACTACTACTAGTACTAATACTACTACGACTAATAATAATATCTGTAGGTATTACATTGGTTCAACCATGTACTTTTCTCTCTCATCTCTCTCTCTCTCATATTTTAAATGTGAAGAAGGTGACTGATGACTTCATGTATGTTGATTTCAGACCAGCAAGCCATCATTCAACCGATCAACAAGTCTTCTATCTGCCCACCACTCATCTGTCTATACACTTCATGCTGGATCATTTGCCACCATTATTAATATGCAGTTTATCCCATTGCCTTTCAAAACAAACATCTTTTCTTAGTTCAGATTTCAGCTGGTACTTCAGCATGAAATCTCTTTAAAGTTCCATTGAAATTAACTATAATTATATTTGTTTTTATATATTTATTAATCTTTAATATAAGATTAATGTTCACTCTTTAATAACTTCCCCTTCCTCAAGCTGCTGGCATGCTTATTGGAATGAGGGCCATTTCTCTTTATTATTTGTCACAATATAGAGGAAAAGACTGTTTTAAGCTCTTTAATTATGCTGATTTTAGATATTGTTGACATACTGTTGACATGTATAACATCTCAAGATCTAGTATTAACTTCATTCAAGATGTGAAGTATTAAGAATTGTGAAAACTGAGTTATGCAAAAACTAAAAAAAAGTGGTCAGCACCAATCAAACTATGTTCTGCAAATACTAAGCAAAGAGTAGTCTAACTGAGTTTAAACTGAGTTTCAGACAGATTTTAGTACTTTGGCAAATACAAGACCTGTTTAGATGTCTTCAAGATGCAGAAATGCCTCCATACAATCTTCTTGGAGTGATTTAGGTGGACATGCACAGCTATTTTACCCAGGTTTTACCCTAGCAGACTTATAGCACAAACAGTATTTGTTTGTTAACCCTTGTGTACTGTTCAAATTTACTACCCTGTCATTATGTTCATGCAGATTTTCCCCCATTGACTTCCATTATAATGACATTTTTTATTGTAAATCCATGAGACCATACAATAATACATTCTTGTTTGTTGCTGGTTTTCCCTGTTGGGAAGAGGTGAATGTGTGATTTTTTTAAAACTTTTGGTTAAACATTTAATATAAAGTTGAAGTCAGAATTATTTACCCTCCTTTGTTTTTGTTTTCTTTTTAAAATATTTCCCAAATGGTGTTTAACAGAGCAAGGGGATTTTCACAGTATGTCTGATAATATCTTTTCTTCCGGAAAAAGTCTTATTTGTTTTATTTTGGCTAGAATAAAAGCAGTTATCATTTTTTTTAATATTTAGGTCAACATTATTAGCCCCTTTACACTAGATAATATTTTTAATAGTTTAGAGAACAAACCATTATTAGACAATAACTTGCCTAATTACACTAACCTGCCTAGCTAACCTAATTAACCTAGTTAACTTTAAGCTGTTACTTTAGTCACTTTAAGGGCCTACTCAAACTATGCCATCTGTACCGTGCCCAGGCCCGTGTCCCGGATCGTTTGAGAAGTGTGAGTGCGCTGAATCGGGCTCAAGCACGGTTCACTTGGCCGGCCCTGGCCCAGTTGGAAGAGGTGTGCCTGAGCCCGGTTCACTTGGGCTTTGGCGGGGTACGCTTGTGTGTGAGTGCAAAACGCGCCTGTTTCATATGGATTTATTAATAGTTCTTACTGTTCAGTGAACGCAAACTGCCGTAGTTTATTAAAGACGCAAACCCCTCACTGCACGACAGCTGCACGGCTTCAGCAGACCTCCTCATTCCTGCAGCACGAGGGCTTTATGATTGTTTATGAGCACCAAAAGTGGCGGATCTGTTCGACGAAATATCTGACTGCGTGTCCCCGCATAAGGACTGTTTGGCGAAATATTTGATGGCATATATAACTAGAGAAATCTCCACTGTGCTGCTGAGTGAGAGAGCGCTTCTCACTGAACAGCGCAGCAGCGATGACGCAAGCGTGCCGAAGCCCGTTTGTGGTGTGAGCATGCTTTAGCCCGGTTCGAGGCAACTGTACCTAGTGTGAGTACGGCCTGAGCTGTATAAAAGTGTCTTGAAAATATCTAGTCAAATATTATTTACTGTCATCATGGCAAAGATAAAATAAATCAGTTATTAGAAATGCGTTATTAAAACTATTATGTTTAGAAATGTGATGATGTGTCCTTTAAACAGAAATTGGGGGGAAAATAAACAGAGAGGCTAATAAAAAAAAAAAAAAAAAAAAAAAAAAAAAAATATATATATATATATATATATATATATATATATATATATATATATATATATATATATATATATATATATATTTTTAGCTGTTCTTTAATGTCAGCCAACATCATTTTGTGGGTCTTTAAAGAATCAATTCAGGTCTGTTTACACACCTGTACTGTTTTGAAATGACCAACTGGAATCGACCATTGAAATTCTAGTTCTGTGACAACACTAAAGTTGAAGTTAAAGAGAAAGGCATGAATGGTGTTTTGTACCTACCCCACCGCAAAGTCCGACAGAGCAGGGCTCACCAGGCTCACCCTTGAGGCCAGGGGGTCCTGCTGGCCCCGGCGCTCCGCCTGCATCGCCCTGCAAACACACAACGACAGCTGGCATTTAGAGGCGCTGTCACCTCCGGCTTGTTATCTGACAGGTTGTGGAGAAGTGCACAAATGCACACACACATGCTTCTCTCCACACGCACATACACAACAAGAGCTGGACGTAAATATCACAGACATCTGGGCCAAATGCCACCAACCTGGAGTCACCTCACGCAGCTTCAGCGGTGAGACAACAGAAAAAAAGAGCTCTCCACGCTGAACTCACTCACCTTTTTATAGACGCAGTAATGGCTGTGCAATCTCAATCTGTCATTATTTTGAATCAATTTCGACTTTTATAATATAAGAGCAGTCTAAATAAATAATTATTATTTTATCATTTATTTGATATTAAGTATTATTACTGGAGGACATTTGAAATATTTTATTCAGAAACATAAAAATCATAAGAATTATTTGAAAATATAATTATAGCAAAAACAATTCTATACATACAGTATATTATAATATACATACAGTAATATAATAACATACACATACACTTACACATAACATACACTTTATTAGGTACACCTGTCCAATTGCTCATTAACACAATTTTTTTATCAGCCAATCAAATGGCGGCAACTCAAAGCATTTAGGCATGTAGACATGGTGAAGATGATCTGCTGCAGTTCAAACTGAGCATCAGAATTGGGAAGAAAGGTGATTTGAGTGACTTTGAACATGGCATGGTTGTTGGTGCCAGACAGGCGGGTCTGAGTATTTCAGAAACTGCTGGTCTACTGGGATTTTCACGCACAACCATCTCTAGGGTTTACAGAGAATGGTCCGAAAAAGAGAAAATATCCATTGCGGCAGTTCTGTGGCGCTAATGTCTTGCTGATGCTAAAGGTCAGAGGAGAATGGCCAGACTGGTTCCAGCTGATAGAAAGCAACAGTAACTCATCAATACAACCAAGGTATGCAGAAGAGCATCTCTGAACGCAAACACATCGAACCTTAAGTCGGATGGGCTACAGCAGCAGAAGACCACACTGAGTGCCACTCCTTTCAGCTAAGAACAGGAATCTGAGGCTACAATTTGCACAGGCTCAGCAAAATTGGACAATAGAAGATTGGAAAAATGTTGCCTGGTCTGATGAGTCTCGATTTCTGCTGCCACATTCGGATGGTAGGGACAGAATTTGACATCAACAACATGTAAGCATAAATCCATCCTGCCTTTTATCAACGGTTCAGTCAAATCTGCAACAACTGCGTGATGCTATCACGTCAATATGAACCAAAATCTCTGAGGAATATTTCCAGTACCTTGTTGAATCTATGCCACAAAGTATTAGGGCAGTCCTGAAGACAAAAGGGAACCAAAGGGGTACAAGTTAGGTGTACCTAATAAAGTGGCCAGTGAGGGTAAATGTAATAACTTAATATAATACATGATAACAATATACATATATTAAATTACATAAAACTTAAATTTGAAATATCAAAATCAGAGTTAATTTTTTGTTATTGAGATAGCATTTGATTTTTTTTATTTTATATTATATTTTATCTTAGATTTTCTTTTTTCATTTTAAAGCATTAGTAATTTTGTTGTATTTTTAAAATACTGTATGTCTTATTATTGTACTTATTTTAAATGTAGTCATTTAATTCAAAAAGTTAAACCATGTATTAAATAAATTTCATTTTATTTCTGTTAATGTACATATTTTAAGTAACAAAAATGGCTGAAGTGTAATAATTAAAAAATTACGTAAAACACCAGTTATTATGCTTACCAGTATCTGAACAGAAATGTCACATTTTTGACTTCCACAGTACCCAATAAATAACAAACAAGCATTAATTCTGTGAGACGCCTCAAACTATTTCAGCACCCAGCTGTTTATCAGCTCACAGCTGGTGCAAACTCTGGAAATGTGCAAGCAAAGCACAACCGTTCTTCTGAACAAAACCTTGTACCTCGACATATGCCGAAACATGGGAAATGTCACATCAGAAACATGCAGTCCCAGTGACATGTACTGTACCTTTTCTCCTTTCATTCCATTATTCCCAGGGAGTCCTATCAGACCGGCAGAGCCCTGGACAAATCAGAGATAACACACATTCAATTCAGTGCTTCCTCAGTGTTCATTTTAATGACCAATCTTTTTTTTTTTTTTTTTTGTCTCCTGGAAATAGGACAATAAATATGACAAGAAATGACAATCTGGTAAAATACCCAATCAGAACTATGACAAGGAGGTTAGAGGAACATCTGAACTGTAAGCAAGTATCTTTTCAATGTTTTATTAAACATTTAAAAAGTCAATGTGCGGGCAAGAGAAAGATAAGAGCAGATGTGGATAAACCAAAAGCACACACATTGAAACACTTCTCTGAGACATGACTTTATTTTAATTTTCTTTTTTTGTCATTTTGACAAATTACACTAAAGTAGATTACTTTTACCTACTGTTTTATTTTTAGGTATTATGCTAACGGTACTAAAAACTTTTTTTAATTGGGCAATGCACAGTTCTATTTTAAACTAAGATTTTCAGGCAAATAGGAACATTTGTAACATCTTTCTGCTTTATTTACATGACTCCACCTGAAAGCTAAAGCCATTGAGAATGATAATAATAACACATTTTAATTAGCATAGCAGTATAATATACTAAAAGTATCCTAACTAGGTAGCAATAAACGTTTAACAAATGTTATTGAAAGGAAGCTAATTAAACCATATTGGTAAATAGAGTTAAAGAATAAAACATTTGTTAAAAGTTTTATTGAGATGGATTGCTGGTGATTGGATGGATGTTGGCCTGATTGGCTTTACATGGACATAAGAACAATTTAAACCTATTTAAATGATTTAAGACCAACAACACAATTTTTAAGGGATTTATTTATTTTTTTTAATCCGCAGACAGCCTGTCTGTACTGCATATAGGTTAGGAATAAATAAATTTGCTCCATTTCTGCAAGCATTTATTTATCTTCTGACACATTGGAAAGTGAATAGACTTTTAGGTGGAGTTGTTGCTGTGAGTAACACATGAGTATAAAGTTGCAAAAGTGAGCAAGTTTATAGGCTGGGAGATATGCCAAAACGGCTAAATAAACAGGCTGTGTGCTTTGAAGCAAAGCAATCTGGAACATGTACAAACTGACATTAATCTTTAACAATGCTGTCCAAAAGCAGAGCATCCAAAACTACTGCTGCACATTGTCATCCACCATTTTACAGTAGCTGACTTGATTAACTGACTAAAAATGCATCGTTTCTTTGAAAGTCTCAATTTTCAGTCCACACTGGGATTTGAAAACAGAATTTTTAAATGTATCCACATTTTACATTATTACATTATACATTATGGACATGGCCTAAAAGATATAGGTATATCCCTATCTACAGTAAATGAAAGAATTATTAATATAGTACAGTATTTCATTTAATTTTTTTTATTTCATTTTCATCCGCTTTTACGGGGCCGGGTCACGGGGGCAGCAGTCTTAGGAGAGAACCCCAGACACATCTTTCAGCTCTTCCAGGGGGATCCCGAGGCTTTCCCAGGCCAGCTGAGAGACAAAGTTCCTCCAGCGTGTCCTAGGTCTTCCCTAAGCCCTCCTCCTGGTGGAACATGCCTGGAACACTTTCCTAGGTAGGCGTCCAGAAGGCATCCAAAAGAGATACCCAAGCCACTTCAGTTGACTTTTCTCGATGTGGAGTAGCAGTGGCTCTACTCTGAGCTCCTCCCGGGTGACAAAGCTCCGCACCCTATCTATAAGGGTGCGCCCTTCCACCCTGCGAAGGAAACTCACTTTGGCTGCTTGAATCCAGGATCTTGTCCTTTTGGTCATGACCCAAAGCTCATGACCATGGGTGAGAGTAGGGACGTAGATTGACCGGTAAGCCAAGAGCTTTGCCTTTCGGCTCAGCTCCTTCCACAATAGACCAGTACATCGACCACATTACTGCTGCCACTGCATCAATCCGCCTGTCAATCTCACGTTCCATCCTTCCCTCACTCATGAACAAAACCCCAAGATACTTGAACTCCTCCACCTAAGGTATGGACTTTCCTCTAACCTGGAGATGACAAACCACCTTTTTCAGGTGGAGCACCATGATGATTCTTATCCCAGCCACGTCAGACTCAGCAGCAAACTGCACCAGTGCATGCTGAAGGTCTATGTTTGATGAAGCCAACAGAACAACATTGTCTGCGAATAACAGATAAAATCTTGTGGTCGCCGAAACGGACTTCGCTTTGAAATTCTGCCCATAAAAATTTTGAACAGAATTGGTGACAAAGGGCAGCCCTGCTGGAGTCCAACATGCACTGGAAACAAGTTTTACTTAGTGCCAGCAATGCAAACCAAACTCCTACACTGTTCATACAAATACGAGACAGCCCTTAACAGAGCGCCTCTGACCCCATACTCCCACAGCACCAGTATAGTACAGTATACTGCAAAAAATGTGTTGCTCACTTAAAGTTTTTGTCTATTTTCTAGTCCAAACATCTAACAATTTTTAAATCAAGAAGAATTTTGTAGACACATACACACGTTTCAGAAATAATATCTCAAAATGAAGTAATTTTTTCCTTAAAACAAGCTAAATAATCTTATTTAAAAAAATAACGAGATTATTTTGCTTACTGGCAGATTATATATCTAGGTTATAACAATACACTTTATGATAAGTGTTTTAATTTATTATTATGTCAAAACAGCTAAATCTGTCTTTGTATTGTTCATATGTTTCTTCATGCTCATCTATAACCAAACTCATTAGATATCAGCTTCCCTCGAGAGAGAGGAAAAAAAACAAGTTGTCTCCCTTTTAAACTCGGCCCCCCACAGACTCTTTTGCCCCCTGATTATTAGTGATCAAGCGGCTGCAGATAGCTAATGGACTACAAATCCGCCATTACATAGACTACATATTCTGTCATGCACTTTGTAGTCACGCGTTCCTGTTTCCCTTTAATAACATGCAAACACATAGCCGGAGGATCATTATAGACTGATTACATGGACTTTAAACAAACACATCTTTGCAGATTTTTGTTTAACTGTATTGTGAACAACGCATTTTCCTTGCCTTGCCGGTTTTGACCCTCGGGTTGTTTTATTTGTTTACTGTTTATTCCTGTTTGCTGCCTGCCTTTTGACCATGCGCCTCATTGATGACCATGACTCTGGATTGCCTGTATTCAGCTGAAGTCAGAATTATTAGCCTCCCCCCCCCCTGCTTATTTTTCCCCCAATTTCCGTTTTAATAACTCATTTCTAATGACTGATTTACTATATCTTTGTTATGATGACAGTAAATAATATTTTACTGGATATTTTTAAGACACTTTTATACAGCTTAAAGTGACATTTAAAGGCTGAACTAGGTTAATTAGGTTAACTAGACAGGTTGGGGTAATTAGGCAAGTTATTGTTTAATGATAGTTTGTTCTGCAGACTATCGAAAAAAAATAGCTTAAAGAGGCTAATAATTTTGTCTTTAAAATTGTTTTAAAAAAAATAAAACTGCTTTTATTCTATCTGAAATAAAAAAAAAATAAGATTTTCTCCAGAATTTTGTTTTATTTTATTAAACATACCGTGAAAATTTCTTTGCTCTCTTAAACATAATTTGGGAAATAATTAAAAACGAAAAGAAAAAAAATGAAAGGGGGCCTAATAATTCTGAGTTCTTGTGTATTCATCTGTTGTAAATCTCTGTTCATAGTTAATACAACCTACATACAATGTTCATAGTGCATCCATTTGTATATATCACCATAGATATTTCAATAATTGCACTTTATAACTTATACCTGTCTTCTGCACTTGCTTCTGTTGCACTTCTGGTTAGACCAGGACTGCATTTCGCTGTCTTGTACATGTGTAATGACAATAAAGTTGAATCTAATCGAATCTAATCTTTAGTCGACAAATCTAGAATAGCAAACTAAAACGATTCAGACTGAGATATAACTAAAACTAACAGCATTTTAGTCAAAAGTCTGAAACTAAATCTTAATTAGCTGTTAAAATGAACAGTGCTCTTCACTTGTGGTTTGATCCCTTTATTGCAGTGTCTTCCTGGAATACAGGCAGATGCTTGTTAGCAGAAGCAGGTGCAGAGAACAGATTGTGATGCTGATGCGTTTTCCTGCCACACGTAGAGAACTCAGATGTACCCGTCCCCGCAAATTAATTTCCAGATTACCGATTGATTACTGATTGTCTGTGCAACAATTTACAGCTCCGCAGCCTCATTCTTCTCTCCTTTGTTATTTATATGCACATCGTCTTTCTCTCTGTGTGAGCAAAATGAGTGGGAAAACTAAATGGAAGTGGAAAGCGTGATTAAAATAATACTCGATATTTGGTGTATGACTCAACATCATTACGCTGAGGTGTTGCCAGAGAATTGCTATGTGGTGGCAAGGATTTTCTAATGAGTGTTTCCTGAGTTGCTATGCTGTTTTTAGGGTGTCAACAAAAAAAATCATCTTTGAATCTTGATGATATTAAAAATAAAGATGCATGAACAACCAAAAAGAAGTTTTCACAGTAATGCCATAGAAGAAGTCATTTGTTTTAGTGAAAAAAAATATTTAAAAAGCAAAAATTTTTAACAGTTTGAATCCTTTGTGTAATAAAAAGGTTATTTGGATGATAAATGTACTTCATGGAAAGAAGTACCCTTTAAAGACCCTTTATTTTTAAGATAGCCTTGGCACCTATTTAGTGTTTCTGCAGGTTTCACCAAGTTAAATTTAAGACCTTTTAGGACATTTTAAGTCCATTATTAATGACATTTCATAGTTATACAGGGCTAAGCACAAATGATTTCTTTTAAATGGCTAGGTTGAAATGAATTTTTAATTAAAAAAGTTATTAGGAACATATTTTAAATATTCTAGCAGGCTCTAGTTGTTTACATAAACTATTTTCAACATAACTTTTGGAGGGAAAAAAAAATGGAGAAATCTTTAAAAAACTACACTAAACAAAATTGGCGGCATGGTATTTCAGTGGTTATCACATCAAGAAGGTTGCTGGTTAGAGTCCTGGCTAGACCAGTTGACATTTCTGTGTAGACTTTGCATGTTCACCCCGTGCTTGCATGGGATTTCTTCCGGGTGCTCTTGTGTTCCCCCACAGTCCAAAAGACATGCACTATAGATGAATAGGATGAACTTAATTGGTCGCACTGTATGAGTGTGTGTGTGTGAATGAGTATGTGTGTATGGGTATTTAAAGACTTTTTAAGGCCTAAAATGTAGTTTTTAGATTAAAGACTTTTTAGGACCCAGCGAACACTCTGCTATTGTTCTATTAAGAACTTTTCATGGTTAGTCATGGTAGAAAAAGTTCTTCAAACTATGAAACTATTATTAATTTAAACACTCACTAAAAGGTTATTTGGTTAACTAAATATGGTTTTCATGGGGTATTCACTCTTAAAAATAAAGGGGGTGCTATATTAGACCTATTTTTAACTTGCACAACACATTTTAATCCGCAAACAGTTGTTTGACCATTGTCGGTTTTGTTATTTTACTTCTAACATCTGATATCCAGATATCCTGATATTTCTGCCTATGGAGGGAGCTCTTGGATTTAATCTAAAATATTGTAATTTGTGATCTGAAGATGATCGAATGACAATCTATCTATCTATAGCAACCACTTCTCAACATTCTTCACAATATCGTCTTTTGTAGAAGAACAGAAGCAAGAAACTTGAGTGTTTGAAGTCTGAATAAAAGAAGTGTCATATTTGGGTGAACTACCCTTGTGAATGGCCCACAATATGGATATTTAAGATAATCTTTTGTCATACTAGAGATACATAGAGAGGAGCGTGTGATATCATTGATCGCAACTGGTCTCCCATCCGTTATCGTTAGTAAGCCAATAAGATTAATTTGAACTCACCATAAATAGCCTGTCTAGAATTACTCCATTATCTTCATTGTTCAAAGAATCCCCCCCAACCCACCCCCTTTTCCTCCATTACCAGGGGGAGCTCTGGAGATCTACCTGTTCTCGTACCACCTTACATGCTCATTGACCTTGTTGGAGCCTTGAGCTCAGTTATCTCCGACATGCCCGGACAGCATGCTAATGTTATCAAGCAATATCTAAATGCGAACTTTTGAAATATGAACTATAAAATACATTTCTACAATTAAACAATACTAATAATGCTTACCGGATCTCCTTGAAGACCACGAGGACCAACAGGACCTGGCGGACCCACTTTTCCCTGTGAAAAACAAACCAAAAAAAAAAAAAGACATGTTGAAATCTCTTCAATTGAGCATTGTGACCTTATTTCAGGTCAAACTCTACGTCACTAGATGAAATGTGTAGAAAATGTGAAATTGGTTTGTGCCTCACTCTGACAAAAGGGAATAGGTGAAAACATGCTCTGAAAGCTTCAGCTACTCCAGTTTATTCTAAAATCAAATTGAAGCGTTTGGAGTTTTCTGAGCCAATAAAAGCCTACAATCAGATGCTTTTTGTGACCTTGGTTAGAACGACACAACCTATTTAACCCAGCTTCAGGAACTGGTCACTTAACCAGCAGGATTTGTGGATAACTGCTCTCTTGCTGTTTCAAGCATGTTGACAAGTGCCACAATAATCCCTTCATACTATAGTAGAAAGACTTTAATGCTCTTTCTATTCTGGTTAAATCACACAAGATGTCAGAAATGAGCTTTATGGAGACGGAAGTTCATACCTCAAGTCCTGGTGGACCTGTCAGTCCAGCAGCGCCCTTTATGAAGAAAGGAAAACATGAATAAGTAAAAGTAGAAGAAAAAGGGAAAAAGAGACTTTTTTTCAGAAATTGGGGCCATTTTCTAGAACAGGGGTCACCAAACTTGATCCCAGAGGGCCGGTGTCCTGCAGATTTGAGCTCCAACCCTAATCAAACACACCTGAACAAGCTAATCAAGGTCTTACTAGGTAAACAATCAGGCAGGTGTGTTGAGGCAAGTTGGAACTAAACCCTGCTGGGACACCGGCCCTCCAGGACAGAGATTGGTGACCCGTTCTAGAACATTTCTAAATAAATTTGCATAATTTAATTTGAAAAGGGTAATGCTGATTTTACCAGGAGAACCGGGCAAATAAAACAAAATAAATTTAATTAAATAAAAATTCAACAAAAATAATCAAATAAAACATGTAAAATTTTTATTAAACTAGTATTGCAGATATTGTAATACATTTTTATAAAAAAAAATGTATACACAAGTAAAATAAAACAGAAGCACATATGTTAAAATTATAATTGTATAATTGCAATCATTATTAACAGTTTATTATTGTAAAGAGAAAATTAGAGAAATTACATTTGCTGTACAAGTTGACTGCACTGCACAGATGAACTAGTAATAAATTATTATTTACCTGTAGACCTTGTGATCCGTCAGCCCCCTTTTCACCCTGGAGAAACAAGAGCAAAAACTGACCACCGTGTACAAAATCCCATTTTCAAAAGAACCCACAGTGGAACAACAGACTATCAAGGTCGAAAAACACCTTTTTATGTGTCCGTGCTTTTAAAATACCATTGAGTCCCTCCTTTAAAAACCTTTTTGTGACTCCACTAACATCTGACAGATCGGTCAGAATTTGTCTGACTTGGTGTCCATTGTAATAATTACATTTTTTTTCCCGCAGACAATGCCGCCACAACTTTGAACAGTCAACAGAAGTCTCGCAACATAAGATCTTACAAACTGTTGTGGATCCATGATAATATTAGTGTTGCTTACTAACCTGGTCTCCTTTCTCTCCTTTCTGGCCTTTCTCACTGCCTTCCCCCTCATGGATGAGAGAAAGAGAGGAAAAAACAACATAATCATGCATAGAGGTTATTTATCAAGGGTTTGCACGGTTATATTTCAACTGACTACTGTAGGCTATTTAAACAGCTCATATGACTGAAAATATTTTTTAATTGCACTGCAGTCAAAAAAAACTTTTGGAAAAAAAAATTTGTAAGATACATACATATATGTATCCAAGTTCATTTATAAATGATAGATTTGCATTAGAAAAATATCATTAAAAAAAGCTAACGCTAAGAAAAAAAATTAAGATTCAAAATTACTGTTTTAAATATTACATAAAAAACAAAACAGCATTGACAACACTATTTCACACTGAAAAAAATATCTAATTGTTTTGAATTTCGCTGTAAATCAGGAAGGAAGCCTAAAGTTTAAAGGGACGTGAGCAGGGAAGCTTGTTCTCTTGCTTTTGTGTTGCTTGCCTTTTTGCTGTGTGTGTATGTGTTTTGGCTTGTGTTGTGTGCTATTATGTTGATGATGTTGATGTGACTTTAGAGTTTGATTTTGATCTTGTTTAAATTTTGGTGCACTGTTACCGTCTTGTTACCATGCTTATTTCAATATCCCTGATCTTTGGTGCACACATTTCCCATGAAATCGAGGAGTTTCTCGCAACACGCAGAAAACTCCACTGTCTAAACACACTAGTTTAGAAGTAAGCACCATTTGCTGTAAGTTTTCTACGTATCTTTTTGTAAGAAATGTAGTATTAGATATTGCCTGCAAACGCTGAAGATGTTTTGTTCGTTTATTTTCGATTAGGTATTTTGGGGGTTATTTTCAGCTAGTTTTGGGGTTTTTGTAATATTGCTTTCTTTTATTTGGCACCACTTGAAATTCTTTTTTGAATTGAATTGAATTGAATTTTATTTGACAGATTTTAGACAAACTGTACAAAAAGTATTCCATACACTTTGTTAAAAAAAACTGTCGAGGATAAAAACACAATAAAGCCCTGGGCTTATTTCCATTGTGGTCCTCTGTTAAATAAAAACAATGTATGGCTTCAAAATACTAATGAAGAATAAAACAAACAGTCGCCACAGCGGTACGAACAGCCAAACCTATCCAGCACAATTTCCCTCCAGCCGCCAACCTATTCACACTCAAGTAACATAATTTAAAAGATCCTCATCCACCATGCAAAACTAATTATCCTCATCAAACAACCATCTTTTAATAGCCTTTTTGAACAACCTTAAATCTTTTATTTCCTTGATTGCTTTTGGTAGTTTGTTCCACATGATTGCACTTGTATATAAAAACATATTTTTCCCCACTAAACTTCTAAATTTAAATAAACAAATATTAAAATCCCAACTCCTAGTACTGTATGAATGCTGTTGCCTCACCATTTGAAAATAGTTCATCAAATAGCTAGGAACCACATTATTAAACATTTTACGTACCATTCCCAGTTTTAAAAAACACACTCTATTACTAACAGTTAACATACCTAATTTATTAAAAGACTAAGACTATTTTCCCCTTTAATAACACACATTAAACTATTCATTTTCTTTTGTAAGATTCCTACTTGTACATAATATTTTTAAATGTTTATTTATGATATTTATTTTGCTGTTTGACTTTTTTCACTTTTGTAAATCAATTCAAGTTTTTTTTTTCTTTTTTTTTTGCATTATTTGGTTGTCCTTTTGCTATTTTGCCACCAACTCACTACAAACTGAGTCACATCAAAATGTTACCTCTTTAACCCCTAGAGCTAAACTTTAAAGTCGTAACAGTTGTGATTAATCTTTTTTTTAATCGTTGTTGTTGTTAGTTCAGCTTTTAAACTGCACTATGGGACCTTGATGTGTCCTCTGGCAAGTTTGTTTAAAAAAGTGAGTCTTTTGGCATTGTTAATAGTTTAAAGTGTTGTCAAGTATGGTACAAAAACCTGGTAATAAACTGCCAGCAACTTATTATTTTGTAAACTTGTTATTTTACAGACTACTTATACAATATATTGTTTCAAACTACTAAAATGCCACTTTATTCAACTGCAAAGTTATTTTTTTTACATTAAAATTCGACAGAGCGGATGCAAAGGTCCTATAATGCAATTCATAAGCATAAATAAATAAAAAACACCAGTGAATCTCAACATACAAAAACTGTTACTTAACAGACTTTTTTTTCACAGTGCATGTACAGTAAATGCAACGAAAAGCCTAACATCTCAACTTACAGGTCCAGAAAGCCTCAATCCATGTGCTGTCATGACCTAAATGAAGAAAAGACCATCTTTAATATCAATTTGAAGCAAGACTGTTACAATAATGATCATACAAGGCACCAAATAAATCAATTTTGGACTGTAATGGACCCACACAAAATGGTAGTTGTTCAAGATTTCAACATTCTTTATACGGATCATCAAAGACCTGAAGATTGAACATTTTCTAAGATCCCACTTCAGTATTAACCTCAGAATCTTCACACGATAGGAAACAGAAGCTTCCTCTTGCTCTTTCTCAACCGTCTGGACGGCCTCGACACAAAAGATTAGCATTAATCCAGGGCTTATGACATTTAAAATGGCAAGAGCCTTTTACTGCGGCAAGAGCCCAGCAAACAGCCTCTTCAGGCATCAGTCAGACTCTCAATCTGCTTCATGGCTTTCTCCATTTAGCCATTAGACACCAGCAGTTCTAGTAGTCTGTCAGTCAATCTGACGGCTTTCAGTCAGCAGTGCTGGAGGATTGTTTTGTTGAATCCATCTACTGTGTTAAACTGTATAAAGTCTATGAATAAAGATGAAACAACAGGAGGCCTGATGGAGCTTCAAGACTAAGTTGGGCAAAAAAAGCTAATGTGAAGATTTTGTCAAATTTATTTTGTACTTTTTGGAATTAATGCTTGCCTTAAACCTGATGACCTGTATTGTTTTTATCTATAGTCTCTGCAGAGAGAATGGCCTATCACAGTAAAACTACATCATAAGTAAAAAGACACCTCAAGTGACTCATTTCAACACAAAAAAGTGCACATAAATATTGGGTAAAATCATATTGATTTAGCTATTAAAATGCAATTGTGGTAACATTTTAATTTAGATCCGTATTTATGGTAACACTTTATTTTGATGGTTCATTTAGGTATCAGTAGACTGTCTGCTTTACATCTGTTAATACGGTTCCAACAGACATTTAACTGACTATAAGAAACTTTGCAAGTACATGTCAACTAACACTAAGCCTAACCCCAACCTAATTCAATTCCAAAAGGATTTAAAATAAAGTGACCAAATTTACAGTATTAACAAACCATTAACAAACACTACTAGCATAACACTCTACTAAATAGCTGTTTATTAATAGTTAATAAGGTAGACCTTGGGTTTAGGTTTTTGGTATGATTAGGGATGCAGAAAAAGATCATACTTTATAAATACTTATGAACAGTTAATATCTTAATAGGCAGGTAATAAGCCTGCAGTTCATAGCATGACCTAAACTAAAGAGTTACCACTTGTCCTTCAATTAAAATGAAAAAGTACTATTTTTTTTTTTTTTTTTACCTAATATGTGGCAGATGTATAAATTGATTACATTTGGAAAAGTTTATCTTATAACTATTCTTAAAAATAAGTGTACTCTATTGTTAAAAAAAACCAGATTCAACATTTTTTGATTCACTAATATGGTATACAGTAATATTGTGTTATTGTTATTATTAAATGTTCTTTTCTCTTTTTAATACAATTTATTAATTTACTGTAAATAAATAATGGTGAACGGTTTCAGAATTAAATGATTCCTTAATAATAATAATTATAAAATGCTTGATGTTCAAAAACCACGCATCATCAATGTATTGCAGTTTCCCATTGTCACTTTAAATCCATTCCTGTATTTTTTTAAATTAAATATTTATTTCAGTATCTCTAGAAAAATTATGTACTTTTAATATATTAGATTCAATTAGGCTCTATAGATGCTTAAAACCCAAAGTGTCATCTAAAATCTTCTTCTAAAATTATCATTTTTATCAGGCTCCAATATCTAGGTTCAGTAATTTCACTTTTAAGACAAAGAATACGTTATTTTCGTCTCTTTTAACAAGAAATAACAGGACATAAACATAAGATTCTGAGAAAAATGCTCATTGGAGAAAAAATTTCAGGATGGCACTTAGAGGTTTTTGCATCTCTTCACTCTTCATAGTTACTGTGGTAGCACTTTACAAAAAGGTTGTATTAGTTAATGCTAGATATTGCATTACTAACATAAAATAACAAACAAAAAATCATTTATTTATTTATTCATTCATCTTTGTTAATGCAAATAAAGTTGTTTATTGTTGATTCCCAGCTCTCTAGCCCTTGCAGATCACTGGTAAACAATCACTATCACCTGAACTACAATCAAAATACACCAAACTGCACTACATTTCCCATTAGGCACCTCACTCACACACCAATTCCGGATTACCCCAGTTCCAGTTCCCTGATTACCTGCACACATCAGCTGTAGCTCATGAAGACTGACTATATGGACTATATGTACACCTCACTTCCTCACACACATTGCTGAGTCTTGTTAGCTGTAACATTTTAAAGCGTTTTATTATCTAGCCTTGCTGTGTTTTTTTTTTAGCCTTATTTTGTTCCATGTTTATATTGTCTTGCCACCTGTATCAACCTCTTTGCCTGTGACCACAACTTCGCTTTTGGGTTACCCTCATGATACCATTTGCTCCTGATCTGACCATCGCCTGCCTGACTAATTTGTAAATAAATTACATTTGGAGTCTCACCTCCATGGTCCCTTAACTCACTTATTATAGTTATCAAGCATGATTTTGGATTTTAATAATGAATAATACAAGCTGAACTATGATCAGTAAATGCTGTACAAGCATTGGTCATTATTAGTTCATGTTAGTATATGTATTAACTAACATGATACTAATGAAATCTTATTGTAAAATGTGACTGTTATTGTAAACTTTTTTTCACCACAAAGCATTATGGGATTACCATTATCACATAAGTGATGCATAAATGAACAAACCATTACTATTATTTTTATTTAATTTTTTTGTATTGTTATTATTATTATTTTGTAAAGGCAGCTAAAATATTATGCACACAGTTTACTAGGTTTCATTATCACAAAACAAAATATACATTTTTCCACTAAATGCATTGAGCACAACCACACACACACACACACACACATTGGCTCACTGTGGTCTGCACAGCTAATTACCACTTAACAATGAGCTAGAATGTAATTAAAATCTTGAAATGGGATTTAGGTTATAGTTGTTCAAAGATTTTCTTTTCTTGGACAGGCAAAAAAAGAAAGAGCGAGAAAGAAAACATGAATTACTCATCCTTAATTAAAAGAAAACCAGCTCTAAACAACATGCTCTATTGAGAGCCAGCTACAATCAAATGACAAACTGAAGAGGGAATAATCAAACTCCTAAAAGCAGGTTCGCATTCGAGTCAGCCATCATCGTAATGAGCTGTTTCAGAACAAAAAAAAAGCGCCATTGGATTCTTTAGTCTTCTTGGCTTCATGAATCTTTGTAAATTGGTTTAAAAGGGGCACCGTCATCTCGCTTTTCCCATTTAGCCAGAGATTCACACAGCAGGCCGCATCAATTGATTTTGTGCCCTGCTGTCAAATCGCACCTTTCGTCTCTCCCTTTTGATTTAATTGACACCAGCGATGCTGTTCCAAACCTGCAAATTTCTTGCTAAGTGCGACCAAAAAAGCTTTCGGCTTCCCAGCTCTCTAAGGTTTTCTTATTAGTGACCAGTCAGCAGTCAGATGAAGCACTGATGCACTAAATTCTCCACTGACGATAGCGGGAAAGATCTTACTGATGCTGCTTAAAGTGACAGTTCACCTAAAAAATGAAAAAGGGCTGTTAATTTACTCCATTTCAAGATCTTGGTTACTTCAGTAAAATGTTAAAGACGATTTGGTGGTTGGTAAAAAATGCAAGTCATGGCTATTGGAATTTTGAGAATCAACAAAAGCATGTATAGGCTCTAACCTGCCCCATTAGATTACAATTAATGTTAATAGACATTTTAATAATAAAATTTGCTATTTAGCTGTGGTGCAATGATACAGTTCCACATATCATGATTTCAGTATGGATCAAGTGTATCTGTCTGTAGACTGAAAGAGAGGGCCGTAACATGAAGAGGGCATAACTTGCAGTAAGTTAGAAGTGTAACTTGCAGTTATTAAGATCCCATTGAACCATGGGAGACGTCACACACGTGATGTTGTTGGCAAGAACATTTTCAGCAAATGGACTTTTCTCCAAATTTATCCACAACCAATTCATTTAATATATTATTATATTCATTCATTTAGCAACTCTACTCGCTGACTTTTTTGTCCCTTTTGTCATAAGTTAGCCTACTCGGCGTCACCCCCTGTGGTTGCAAATAACTGTTCAATGGCGAGCCTATCAAGTATGAAAGCCTCCACAACTTGCAGCTGTACATTAATAACTGTGATGGTTGGGTTTAGAGTTGTGTTAGGTATAGACATTATTAACTGATGGTAGGGTTAAGGCAGGGGTGTCCAAACTCAGTTCTGGAGGGCCGTTGTGCGGGAGAGTTTAGCTCCAACTTGCTTCAACACACCTGCCAGGATGTTTCTTAGATATCTAACAGGAGCTTGATTAGCTGGTTCAGGTGTGTTTAATTAGGGTTAGGGTTAGGGTTAGACTTTTGTTCTCAGCAAAGTCAGATCTTACTGTTCTAATTAAATCATTAAAAATCAAGGCTTGATCATATTTTATTTTGGTAAAGTAAGCGTAATCTAGAGGCCTTTGCCTTTCATATAAGCCACTTCTGATATCAAATGATCAACTAGAAGTCAAATTATTATTTGTTGCTTTTACAACTTGGATCGACGACAAGACTTTTGTCAGACAGTATAGATGTTAATAACTGATGGGTGCAGCAACTTGCTAACAGTTTTGACATGTGGGTCTCCATAACTTAACTACAATCTTTAATCTACTACAAGTTACTCCCTCTACGTCACGCCCCTGTCTTGCAGTCCGCAGACAAACACTACTTGTATGGTTGGGTATATTTGTTTTATTTTAGTTCCAATTAAAATCACATAACGACACACACAACCAAATTACTAAAACTTTAAGTGAAATTTCTAATTCAATATGAATTAATAATCTTCGGATGGCTACTTCCAGCAGGATAACACGCTATGTCATAGAGCGCGACTCATCTTAGGCTGGTTTCTTGAACAAAATAATGACTACACTGTACTCAAATGGCCTCCACAGTCACTAGATCTCAATACAATAGAGCACCTTTGGGATGTGGTGGAATGGGAGATTTGCATCATAAATGTGCAGCCGACAAATCTGTAGCAACTGCATGATGCTAAACTGACAATATGGACCAATATCTGAGAAATATTTCCAATACCTTGTTGAATCTATGAAGATTAGGGCAGTTCTGAAGGCAAAAGGGGATCCAACCTGTGGCCGGTGAGTTTAAGTATTAATAAACAGCCATTATCTTAAAATCAGGCCGGTAATAAACCAAACTAAATGTCCTCAAACTAAAGTGTTTCTAAAAGTTACAAAAAAAATCCTTCAGCACTGCCACTGAATCCTTTACCGGTGATGAATTGACCCGTTGTCTCTTTATTCATGACATAAAGGCTGAACTTTCGGTTTGCGCGCTCCGCAATGATGTGTATGATCTGTGTGCATGTGTGTATGATAAATCTGAAGTATCATAAGATCAGACTGAAGCAGTACATCACTCACGGGTCCCGGTGGTCCTCTGGGTCCTTCTTCACCCTGTAAAAACAGAAAGAGGAGTGAATCGAATGTACCGCGGGAGTTATTTACAGTAGTCTATGATGCATCTGTCAAACAAGTGAACAAAGCCATCATCTTTCAGCACACATGCACTGAACTAACAAATAAAACATGCATTACGCACCTTCTGGCCCTTCATTCCACCGGCTCCCTCCAGGCCAGGCAAACCCTGCAAAGCCAAAGGAGAAATGAGAGACGGATGTATGATCAGGTAAATAAACACTAAATCTGATGTCTGTGATGGAGTTTTTGGGTCAGAGCTGCGAGGCGATACATACTGAATCACCTCGATCGCCTTTCTGGCCCCTTTCTCCTGCAACACCTTGGTCACCCTTCATCCCCTGGAAAGCAATAGCAAACATAACATAACATTTTCAGAATCCCACGGATTCCGCTAAGCTGTCACGTTATTTTTTTAACACCCCATTTACACGGGGCGTCAGCGTCAACGCTTCCTATTCACTTTGAATGGGTGACGTCAGGCATTGCTGAATTCCATTGTGGATCCGTTGGCAAAGTTAGGAATTTAGGAACTTTTCAAGCGCCTACGGACACCTAAGCCAATTAAATCGATTTATGGAAATACCTATTGCAAACTAATTTCATTGGCTGATACTCCAGTGACGATCGCGTCAGCCCAAACTTCAGACATGCTCTCGATCAAGGCCCTGGCCCTGTGTAAATGCATGGTAATTTATGATAAGCAATAAGACATTATAAGCAAAAAGGTGCACTCTAATTTTGACACGCATTGACATCGTCACCAAATATAAATCGAGAGGTATTTTTTTTTCTCATACATAGCCTCATTTCAGTTGTCAAGTTTGGTAAAAATCTATTTCTTGAATTAATCAATCTATTTAATAAAACATTGGCTAGGATTATGCATTATAGGTTTACATTTTAGACAGAAACAACAAATGAACTGAAACTGGAGTCAGATCATGAAGCAGATCAATGTTGATCTTTCTTTCGAGGTGTCAGTGCAGAAATGAAGAAAACAATAGGCCTAACACAACATATTATAAGATTAAAATACGGAAATAAAAAGTCAGATGGTAATTTCGGTCAAATTTTCTAACAGCATATTTCAGCATGCTTTCACTTTCGTATTAAACATGAAACACACATTTACCGGTAGGAATGACAACCTGCCCTGCTCATAATTCTCTCTTCATATAGCTGTATATATGGCTATTACACAACCATAATACACTGTGATATAGCCTGGTTCGTTAGTTTGTTATACCGTTTTGCTTTCTCACTTTCTCATTCAGTCCCAGATTAATTTGGCGTGGATCCAAGCACGATTGATGGTTTCACTTATGCCAAATGAACCATGCTATACTTGAGACAAGTTCCGAAACAAACATCTAGGTGTGAAAGCACCCATTAAAGTTCCAATTAAAATCACATTTAAAATAAAAGAAAACTACTTTTTGTTTTGATGTATTTATTTGTTTTAATACGACACACAATCAGATTAATAAATCTAAGAACATTTTAAAATGAAATAATAATGAATTAAATAACAAATAATAAAAACTATTAATAAATAATCTATTTGAAATAATTAGGCAGTTACTTCAACTATACTGAAATAAAACTAGTAACCCCGATGTAATTCACTTTTAATATTAATAAATACACTGTAATACACTGTAATTAAATCTAAAAATATATTATAAAAATATAATATATACATACATAGTTTAAAACAAACACACTGATAAATAATAATTCAATCTGTTAACAAAACTAAAAACGCTTATTCAGCAATACTAAAATACGCAAAATCAGTAGCTTAAATATTTTTTTTTATTTTAGATTTATTTTAAATTTCAATTGTACAGTTCAAAATTTTTATATTTATTATTAATATAATAATGATAATAATAATAATAATAATAATAATAATAATAATAATAATAATAATAATAATAATAATAATAATTATTATTATTATTATTATTATTACTGTTATTGTTATTATTATTATTGCTATTATTATTATTATTATTATTATTTTTATTATTATTATTATTTTTATACATTTATCTGACACTTTGTTAAATAAATAATTACTACAATGTTTGTCTAAATGTTTAGGGTAAGAAAGCTTTACAAATATAACATTTTATAATTAAGATTTTTTTTTTGCAGATTGTTAAACATTATAAAACACAACAGTTTGAAACATTTATTTTTTCTATAATTGTTTTATATTCACAATCAATCTTGTTGTCTTTAGCACTTACAGCAGCCCATACAGCATGTGTGATTACTTAATAGAGATTTTATTATTATAATAATTATTTTTCAATTATAAAACTGCAAAAATACACAACAGGGGAACTCCTTGTCATCAAAATCTAAAATAATGTGCATAATTAAGTTATGACACACAGTGAATCAAGTAAAACAGCATACGACAACATCATTTCAAAAACTCCAGCAAACATTCTGACAAATGAAGCTGTATTTAGGCATGATTCATTCGTGCTGTGATGCATGCTGGGAGTCCAGCACCCGGCGCCGCAAAGATCACAGTTATTTCTTCTGCTGGTGTTGATGTGAAGTGATGTGGCAGAGTGAAGAACATGATTTAAATGTTAAATGTCAAAGCACCCTTTTTTCATCTCACTTCCATTACACAAATGTTTGCATACATCACACATGCTGGCTTACACTTAATTACAGCCACTAAACATGAAATCAATGTCCTGTAACTCGGCACCACAGCTCAACAGGCACTCGTTTATCTGCCAATAGATGGCACTTTCTCACTGAAGATGAATTCATGTCTCTCTAACTCAGTTTTGAGAAGCGGTCATCTCTTTAAAGACAATGCAGACGGACACTGGGAAAACGAGACATGGAGCAATTAGTCTCGGCTAGGATTTTAGTTTTACCTCCATCATTTTTGACTACATAGTTGTCTGTAAATAAATGTTGTAAAAAGGGTTAAGGTTATGTAATGCTGTTCAGATAGTTCAGAATCAGACTTCCTAACAGTTTGTGCTAATGCAGACTCTTTGGTCAATGTTTATTAAAGAAGAGTGAGTAGGCGTGGACATGATATTGCATATCAATTTGATGGACTTTCCCTTTCAGACACAAAATTTGAACTTTGCAGTGAGATTTATTCGAGTCTGCTGTGATCAATACAGGTATACTGAGGAGTCAAACAACAAAAAAATATGGTCCAGTTTTAATGCATATCTGAAGTTTCAGTAGTCATGTTTAAAGCAGTCACTAAATCAGCAGACTATCATCTCAAAAACATTGCAAGAATAAGATGCTTTGTTTCCAGTGAGGACTTAGAGAAACCTGTTCATGCTTTTATCACCAGCAGAGTGGATTACTAATAATGTTATAGCTTGATGCTGTGTGGGTGTACCACTATGACGTCTATCAGATGTTGAATTTTGGTTGCCTACCTGACAGATAAATGTCAGTATTTGATGTTAATATAATGTTGGTTTAAGATGTTGGCTCGACATTGGATTTTGGTCACTTTTGAACACAACCTAAAATCAACCAAATATTATTGGACATCAAAATAACGTTGTCCTTAAATGCTGAATAGACATTGAATTTTGGTCACCTGACATCACAACCTAAATCTAACCTAATATTAATATCTTATGACATTGTGTGCCCGCTGGACAATAGGTAACTGCACTACAGAATGTGAAGTTTACACATCCACAAATTACAGGTAAATGCATTAGCGTTTTACAGAATAATACTCAATACTCTTGAGTACTTTTAAAAGAGCTACTTTTTACTCTACTCTATTTTATACTTTGAGTAGTATTGAGAACAGATACTTTTACTCTACTTGCACTACATTTTTGGGCAAGTAATAGTACTTTTACCTATTGTAAGTATGATTTATCTGTGCCACTCCTAGAACCTCAATACATTAAAGATATGAATACAAACCTACAGTAACAGATCACTCAGATCATTAGGATCAAGTAAATTACAAATTCTAAGAGTTCAATCAAAAACATTCCCATTTAGTTATATATCATTATTTTTTTATGCTCTTACAATGTTCAAAACATAACTTCTTTTGAGGTATTAATATTATTTTTGGTTATAATAATACAGCATTTTTCAAAATGTTTTCACAGTCTTATGTTGTATTAATGTTCTCAGAAAGTTCTCAGAACGTTATTAGAACATTCCATCCACATTATATTATTGTTCTAAGAATATTTTCCCAGCATCCTCAGTATGTTATGTAAATGTGATTATGGAGGGTTCTTAGAATGTTCAAAACATCCACTTTTTGGATGTTGTATTAACATACTTTTTTGGGAGGTTACGATTACGTTTTTTCAAATCGATTTCTTAACATTTCAGTCTCACATTATGATAATGTTCTCAGAATGTTATTTTAAAAAGTTATAAGAACATTCCAGTCATATTATATTAATGTTCTAAGAATGTTGTTCTATCAAATGTTACAAGAATGCATAATACAGGTTTTGAACCATCTACATGAAGATATTCAGTGATTTAACAAGAAGTGGCAAAACACACACACACACACACACACACACACACACACACACACACACACACACACACACACACACACACACACACACACACACACACACACACACACACACACACACACACACACACACACACACACACACACACACACACACACACACACACACACACACACAAATTCCAATAAACTTTACCTTCTAACATTTACACAACCTTTAAGGCATCTCACAGAATGCTCGGAGAACGTTTTGTGTAAGCTGGCTTGTCAGATGCAGAGAAATGTGAGCAATTTATTAATAATAAAAACAGATGATGCTGCAACAGGAGAAACCACTTAAGCTTGTTTTCTTACATAATGAATTACAATGTGTCATGGAAGGATACCTGATGTTTGGGAATCAGTTCTGGGAGATCACATGACCATCCTTCAGCTCTCTATGGTGCATTTGATTGACAGACTTTTTAGACTTCACACAATGTATTGAGATAAGTTTTAGCTGATTAGATTACATGAAGAAGGATTTAAAAAATGTATTCAAACATGTAACCCAACTGCTAGGTTTTTCATTTTACTGAACCAATGTGGGTTAAAACAACGTAGGATGCTTTGAGGGTATGAAGAGCTGTATGAATAGACATTTTCCTGATATTTTATTCCAAAATAGCATAATAAGCTTACTTCAATTGTAGTCACAACTTTGGTTTCTGCTTTAAGAGCTGCAAAACTGCAATACCTATCTTATTATTTTTTTTTATAAGCATTGTGATGTTTGCCTTCAAACCAAACTTATGATTTCAGACAGCAAAG